TTTAAGTATTTGCTATCTTACAAATTTTCTGTATACTTGTTCCACTGGTTTAGAGAGAGGGAATCTGAAATCTCCAACTATAATTGTGCATTTCTTTCTACCCGTGGTTCTACTGGGTTTTGCTTCATGTATTACCAGGCACATAAATATTTAAGATATTGTGTTTTCTTGAACTGACTACTTTATTACGATGATTATTATTATGCTTGGATCTTGCTTTTTATACAGTCCAACAAGCTCTGCCCATTCATAGGGATATTTAGATCCCTATGATTATTGACAGAGCTGGAGTTAAATGAATCATTTTTGTATCTGTTTTCCATTTTTCTCATCCATTTTCTGTTCCCTTTTTCCTCTTTCTTTAGGCTTTTTTTTTTTTTTTTTCCTTTTTACACAGTATCTTGCTAAGTTGTCTGAGCTGGGCTCAAATTTTCCGTCCTCCTGCCTCAGCCTCCCAGAGTGTTGGGATTACAGGTGTGTACATGTTCAGCTTACAATTTTATTTTGACTCATTTCTTGGTTTATAAGCTAATAATACATTTTAGAGTTTATGTTACACATTTTCCCTTACCATAGTCTACCATTAGGTCCTATTATTCCACTTTATGTACAGCATGACACTAAAACAGAAACTTCAATCTCTCCCCTCTTGGCCTGTGTGCTGTTTTCATACATTTTACTTCTACATGTATTAGAAGCCCCACAATATATTGTTATTATTCTTATTTTGAAGTCAATTATCTTTTAAAAAGCTTTAAATAATGAAGAAAGTTTTTTAAAAAAATACCCACATATTTACATTTCTAGGGCTTTTCATTCATTTAAGCAGAGCCAAATCTTCCTCTAGTATCATTTTACTTCTGCTCCAGGGACTCGTTGTAACATTTCTTACAGTGCCGGTCTGTTGGTGATGTACTCTTTCAGCTTTCTATGGTGAAAAGTCTTTATATCACTTTAGTTTTTGAAAGCCGTTTTGGCTGGATATAGAATTCTAGGATGACCATTCTTTCCCTTTAGCTCTGTATGGCTTGCTCCCCCTGCACCACCACCTGGATAACAAGAATCCTGCCACCATCCTTATCTTTCTTCCACCATATATACTGTGTCCTTTTTCTCTGGCTGTTTTTAAGATCTTTAGTACTTGTCTTAAGCAACTGGATTATGATGTTTCTTGGTAGAGTTTGGTAGATGTTTCTTGTGCAGGGGGTTCATCTAGCCTAGTGGATCTGTGGATTTACAGTACCCATCAAATTTGGAGAACTTCTAGCCATTTAAAAAATACATTTCATTGTGCATATTTGAGATTTTACAACACGATGTTATATGACACACATAAATAAAATATTTTATTGTCATCCTCACGTTGTATATTAGATCACTAGATTCATTCATCCTATGTAGCTGCTACTTTGTTTGTTTGGTACCGGGGATCGAACTCAGGTCCTTGTGCTTGCACAGCAGGCAGAGAAACCACTGAGCTAAATCCCCAGCCCTTAGCTGCTACTTTGTATCCTTGGAACTACACTTCCCATTTCCTATAGTCTCCCGCCCCATAACCAGTTTTACTCTCAATCAGAATGACCTTTTTTATTTTTTTGAAGGGCATGTCATCATTTTAATGATGTAGATCTTTGGCAACAGACTATCTCCTCTGCTCCCACCACAATGTTTCTACGATGAGTGACAAATAGAAAGAAATCACAATTTCATACTAAAAATGATCAGTCTTGATTTCTCCACTAGAAACTACATGTACAGGGGGAATGAGGAGGTAAGGGAGAGGTGAGCAAGGGATGGAAAATGACCCAGATATGTTATATGCATGTACCAATTCCCCCAAACAAACCTCACTATAATGTACTGCAAATATATGCTAAGAAAAGAAAAAAATAACCTACACACACAGCTCAAGATCCCACACGCAACATCTTAAATCACAGGCCACGGCCTCATGTTCATGTTCGGAGCTAGAGTCTCATCCCCTGGCCCAGCCTTGGGCTGGCTCTGGCCTGGGCTCAGGTAATACTGACAGCCACAGGTGCTGCCCTGAGTGTCTTGAGGGCAGAGAAGAGCTTGGTGCACAAACTTGGGGGGAGGCCGACAACACCCACTCCTGAGTAGGACCTGCCCACCTGGCTCTTCCCCTAACACCATAAAAGGTAAACATTTTGAATTGATTCAGGACGTCGAGGCAGCCGTGAAAGTGCAACTAAAGACAATCACAAAAGAGGACTTCCTAAACTGCTCCAGCAGTGGTGAGGACGATGAGATAACCATGTTCAGAGCAAGAGCGAGTATTTAGAGGGGGATTAATGGCAATGTGTCTTTTACTGTAATAATTTTTTAAATGTAAACATTCACCGTATTTTTTATTATGCCTCATACTGTATTTTCTTTATCTACTCATTGACCAATGGACACTTAAGTTGTTTCCATATATTTGTTTTGTGAATAATGATACAATGATCATGGCAAGATGGTAATTGCGTCTCCTTTGGGCATATACCTATGAGAAGAACTACTAGGTGCTATGGTAGTTCTATTTTCAGTTTCTTTTGGACTCTCTGTAATAGCTATTAATCTACATTCCACCAACGGTATGCTAGGGTTCCCTTCACTCTGCATCACTGCCAACATTTCTTATCTCTTATCGTTTTGATAATGGCCATTCTAGTAAGTGTTTATCATTTTCTTGCTTCTTTGCTTTTGCTGAAGAGACTATCCTTTCCGGTTGGCTTTGACATCACACATTGTTCATTTTACCTTACTGGATTCTGATATTTTTGTTTCTGTAAATATTCCCGAGCTTTGTTTGGGTTCAGGTTTTATCCTTTGTCAAACAGAACCTAACAACTTTAGTCTAGGGCTAATTCTCCCTCTGCTGTGAGCAGAACTCTTCTGAGCACTCTACCTGATGTTCTGTGAATTATGAGATCTTCCATTCTGACTGGTGGGAAAGTCTGCTGCCATACCAAAATACCATGGGATATGTGACTTAAGCAGCTGGAAAGTCCTAAACAAATGTTTTGGCAGGGGCCAGTTCCTGTCTGGCATCCAGCAGTGCCATTACAAGGTAGAAAGGGAGTACCAGGGTTTCTTCCTCTTCACATAAGGGCAACAGTTCTTTCATCAGGGCTCCACCCTTATAGCTCATTAAGCCCTAATCACCTCCTTAAAGGCCCTGTCCCCAGTACAGTCACATGTGGGTTATGGACTCAGTATCTGACTTGGGAGGGCAACAGTTCAGTTTGCATCAAGAGCTTATTCCCAGGCCTGTATGAGGACTGTTCCCTCTACTCTTTTGGATAGTTCTTTCTCCAGTCTTATGTAGTTCCCTCACCCATGACCACTCAGCACTCAGATGACAATTCTCTGCAGATACCTTCTCAGGCATCTATCTGCTCTCCCACTTCTTGACAGTGAACTCCAGCTATCTTTCCTCCCTGGACCTTCAACTGCACCTGGGGCCCCCTTCCCTGCACAGTGACTAGAAACTCTTCCAACAGAAGCTGGGACAACTGTAGGAGTCAATTCACTTCTTAGTAACCAGCCCTTCGCTGCCTAACATTCAGGGTCATAAAGACCCATGTATTGCATCCAGTTTCTCAGGTGTTTCAGGAAGGAAGTAGCTCCAGACTCTGTTCCTCCGTGTCCTCTAGGAGTTTGTTGTCTGGTATTCTTTGATTTGTGTCTCTGCCGTGTTTTCCACTTCCTGAAATATTCTTCTTTAACTGAAAACAATTATTTATCCTTTAGACGTCCACTTGAACACCATCTTGACCAGAAAGTCCTTCCTCAACTCAAGGCCTGGGTGGGTGCTCCTTCTGTACCCTTCCAGTGCAGCACTGACCCACACTGCAGTGCAGCTACTGTGTGGGCTGCTCACATGGCCTGGCCTCCCTCGGAACCCAAGAGCTGGGGAACAGGGGCCCGTGGGGTGCACCGCATCCCAACCACCAGCGGGTTCCGCACACAGAAGGAGCTCCGTAAATATGTGTGGATGGACAAACAAGAGAAGCTTAAAGTGACCAGACAGCAGCCATCTCCACAGTTGTTTTATCACTGTTTTTGTTTTTTTCTGTATCATCCATTTCCTTGAAGATTATAAGCTACCAGTTGCCATCTTGGACTAAGATTATTGAACCAAGCTATATTTTCATATTAAAAACAGTAACTGATTAGATTGAATGGTATTTGCCCTTGCATGGTAGCAGTTACCCACACCCCAGGCATTAAGCCTCCCATACCTTGAGGGAAACAATCTACTACTAAGGACCTCCTTTGAAAATTCAAACCAATTTCAGAGATCTGAATTTTCCAAATATATATTTATTGTCATCCAATTGTACCTCAATAGAGATAACAAACTCAGAGCTACTACAGACCTTCCTCACTAATAATTTAAATTGTGACTTATTAACTTCTCTCCAGAGTTAACAAGTCATGCATTAGTTGTTCAGTTCCATTTCTTTTGAAATTAGCAAAACTCCTATGAACTTTTCTTCCTTGAGTTTCTTCTCTATGTCTTAAGAAGGTAAATTTGAAAAGACTGACTAAACATGAGAAACATAAATGATAACAGAGGCAGATGAAATGTTGAAAGGTCAGCTCCCAAATGGGAAGCTGACCTTTCCCAATGGCTGTCCTAGCGGGCTCCCAGAGCCTCATGAGGACCCTCCAGGCCCAGGTGGCCACACAAGAAGCTAAATACTGTGGACACATTCTCCACTGCTCTTTTGAGGGAGACAGAACTGAGAATGTGTTTTAAATTAACCCACCTCCACTTAAAGACAGTGCCAGGGAGCCAGGAGGATGCTTCCACAAAACCCCTCTGCACCCCTCAAAGAACAAGACAGCAATGCTGCGTAAGAGGCTGCAGCAGACATTAGAGAAGATGCTGCAAACTGAGCTCTCATTCCTTCTCCCATGCAATGGAGTTCTCAAGGGGGCAGCAACTCCACCCCCATGTCCCAAAGAGGCTGAAGAAGGGCAGTACTCACGCTGCAGGGGTTGCTGGCTATCTGTGCTGGGCTGTAGAAGGACCCCCACTGGGCAGCTCTCCTGTCTTCCCGGGATGGGGTGCTGTTCAGGGGCAGGCCGGCTGGGACCCCTGGCCCCGAGGCATTGGGGGGCTGGGTGCTGGGGGCCACGAGGGCAAAGGCGTCGTCCAGGAGGGAGTGCATGGTCTGGCGGGCCTCCTCGATGGATGGCTGGGGCGGGATGTACTGTGAGGCTGGGAAGGGGAGGCCTGGGTACCTGGCCAGCTCGGTGGAGGACGGCGGCGTCTGCACCTCAGCCGGGAGGTCAGGGTCCGACTGCAGGGGGAGACAGCAGAGGGGAGAAGCAGACATGAGTTCCTGTGGTGACTCTAAAACAACGCTCTAGGGCCAAAGTGGAGTTTAGCAATTTTCCTGACATTTAGGAAAGAGCTTATCATCAGAATTTTGAAATGACAGCTGCAAAATTTGTGTTCCATTTTAAAAGGGCTAATGCCTTGAATTAGGAAAAAAGTGGGAATAGTCAACAATTTTTTTCTAGCAAAGCTCAACTCTCTGAAACGCATTTTAGGACCTAGAAGTAACATTTCTATTGAAAGTCTAGGCACCAGAAAACATGTAAGTCTAGGCACCAGAAAACATGTTTCGAAGTAAATATCTCAAAAACAGCTGCCTGCCTCGCAAGGGCAAAGTCCCAAGTTCGATCCCCGGTACCGAAAAAAAAAAAGAGTAGTGTCTCTGGATAACATGAATCAGTAAGAAAGGTTTAAACTGTTACACACTCACTGTTTAAGAGGCAGGAATATAGGCCACAATTAAGTTTTTAAAATCTTATTTCCTGATACTATGTAACAAAAAAAATGCTGTCACAGTAATTTTTTTTCAGTTAAGACATGGTCTCACTATGTAGTCCAGCCTGGTCTTGAATTCACTATGGACCATAATAAAATATGAGACAAAACAGGAAAACAAAGCAAGAAGAGTCTGCTCAGTTTGGGTCAGGAGCATCTGCCCCCAGGGCTGGTGTTAAAGGCTTGGTCCCAACTGGAGCAACTGGGAGCAGTGGGCTATTTAAGAGATGGCCCTAGTGGAAGGTCTGTGGGTCATTCAGGGAGCCCTGAACAGGGATGTGAGATCCTGGACTTTCCTTTTGCTTCCTCACCATGATCTCAGTGCTACCAGCATGATGTGTTGCCTCATCAAAGAGGCCCAAAGCAAAAGGGGACAAGTGATCAAAACCAGAACCTCTACAACTGTAAACCAACAGGAATCTTTATTCCTTATAATCTGATAACCCCGGTGTTCTGTGACAGCAACAGAAAGCTGGCTAATGCAATGTCTCTTCTGATGTCAGAGGCTCCCTGAATCCAAACTGGCAGTGACTGCGGCTGACACCTGGAAAGAGAAGTTCAGCCTGGGGGCTGGGGACCCCCTGCTTGCTGAGTGGAAGGTGGGTTCCTTCTCTCTAGGATGCTCCGCTCACAGCTGGGCCATATCAGCTCAGCTGGTTGGAGCACCAAGGGGCCAAGCAAGTCACTCCCACATCTGTCTGGGTCCATGAGTCCTCTACAAAGCAAAACCGTTCCACAAACACATCCTGAACCCGGCCAGCTGTCTGGAAACTGCTTCCTAATGATCCAACACTGTCCCATGCAAGATGAGTAATAATGCACACCAGCATGAAGAGCAGCCTCTGCTGCACTCCAACAGAAAACAAACAAGCTGGCAAACCAACAAAGGGCCCACAGACCTGTTTTGCTTGGCATACAGTCTTTATTTATTTATTGTTAGTTTGTTTTGTTTTTTTGAGATGGGGCCTTGCTATGTAGCCCAGGCTGGCCTCGAACTCATGGCAATCCTTCTGCCTGGGATCACAACCACACACACACCCCCCCCCCAGCTACAGTCTGATTTAAAAAACAGGTAACCAGTAACTTAAAAATCTGTAAACTTCACACAAACACTCATTTATGGATTCTCCTGGGAGAATCTGAAGCTTTAGCACAACCTGGCCCTCAGACTCCCAGAGGAAAAGCTCACTACTATTGAGAGCTGCTGCCCCCTGGAGACAGGGTGGATGCACTTCTCCGCCTGCTGCGACCTCTTGTGCACCTCCAGGGCTGGCCCTGTGGGTCTGTTTCACCAAACCTGCAATATCCCAAAGGCTCCCAAGAGCTATCTGTCAGCTAGGAACTCTAAGGCCAGTCCCAAAGAGGCTTCTGATTATGATGTTGGAAGGAACCGAGCTCCTTGTCTAATAAGATGAGCAAAGAGCCCTTTTTATGCCTTCCTGGTTTTCTGGAGGAAAAGATGAAGCCTGGCTATCAGCACCACAACCTAACAATTCACAGGTGGAGAGAAGGAAACAGATCTAGAAGGACAACACCCCAACCGCAAAAGGGTTTCTCTGAAGCCAGAAGCAACGCCCAGGCAGTGGCCCCAGAGGCTGGCTATGTCTGCACCGCAAGGGTGCAAGCAGCGTGGGCACAGAAAGATTCTGTTCTCACAAACACCCAAGATCCCCGACAGCCACGGCCACTGCCAATCTTGTCCCAGAGGCCACGACTTCCAAGAAAGCTCTGAAGATGGGAAGGTCAGTTCCCTCCAAGTCCCTCTGACCCTGCAACTCCTCCCAAGAAGGCCAGGGTGAGCCATAGGGTCAGGCTCCCTTTCGTTTTCTTTCTGCCTCATCATTTTCTCAGGCCAGACCATCAGAACTGGAGGCCAAGGGCTGTTAGGCATTTTTCCACATCCCAACACCTAGCACCACATTGTTAACTCATGAATGGACTCTCCAGGGTGAGAGAGGTCAAGATTTACCCAGGATCCCTAAGTCAGAATTTGAATTCCATGCTCCTGAATCCCACCTGAAAAATTCTCTTATGATTCAATGTTGTTTCCTTTGTACAGATACATGTTTATTTATCTCCTCCAGAAATAGAGATGAGCCTTTTTACTTTTAGACATCAAAGATTAGACATCTTGGTGCCTATCTGCAATACTTCATTGGCCATTATGAGAGTGATCATACATTGTGGTTTGTCCAGGACAACCTTGGTCTATGCCTGCTGCTCAGTTTAATAATTAAGACCATTCCCACTCACTTTTTCAAAAGTATCTAGCTTGGGAAGCTGGGTACACTGGCACATGCCTGTAATCCCAGCACTGGGGAAGCTGAGGCAGGAGAATGACCACAAACTCAGGCCCAGCCTGAGCTATATAGTGAATTCAAGACCACCATGAATCACATAGTGAGACCCCATCTCAAAACACCAAAATAAATAAATAAATAAAATAATCCGGCTAAACTATATCAGGGTCTGACAATTGTTTTTTCTTTTTTTTTTTTTTTGTTTAAGGACATAGGATCTTGCTGAAGTCAAACTCCTGGGCTCAAATGATCCTCCCACCACAGCTGGCCAAGTAGCTGGGATTACAGGTACATGCCACTCCACCAGCCTGACAAATTTTCTTGGTGAAGAGTCAGGCAGTAAATATTTAGGTGAGTCATACAGTCTCTGTCACAACTCCTCAACTCTAAAAGCTGCCACAGATAACATGCACACAAATAGGCAAGGCTGTCTTGCAATAAAACTTCACTATATTTACTAAAACAGGCCTGTGCTATAGCCAGAGCCCAGTTCCGAGAAGCCCAGCAATAGCTCAACAGTTTTACAAGAAAGTCTTCAAGGGGAAGAAATTTGGGGCATAGGAGTTGAGTTCAGCCTGGGCAACATGTTTCCAAAAAGTAAAATTAAATTAAAAGGGAGGGTCCAGGCCACCATGAAGGAGCCTGACGTGGGATCATCGATGAGAGACAGCAAGGGAAAACAAGTCATTCCCTACACAAATTCAACATCCAGAAGATGGAGCTCAGAAGAGCTCCTCTGAGAGAATGAGGAAGGCTGACCAAGAAGTGGAGGAGGAAGGCACACTTCTGCTTCTCCTCTTGTCAGTCCCCCCATTCCCTGCTTCGGATGGGGGACAGCTCAGCTCACTATCTTGGGGACCCAGTGGACAGCCATCCCTAGACCAAGCCAAACCCCACTGATGCTGGGACACACACTTCCCAAATCCTCGGTGGCACAAGACCAGCACCTACTGCCAGAAGTGCCATTCAGAAAGCACCGGAAATGACCCCATTCGTTCATTCTACTGAGGAGAGGAATCTCATTTCTCAACTTCTAGCTCCAGAACCCAGCAATCCTTATGAGTAGGTTTCCCAGGTCACAGTCTTTGGGACACTGGAGACACAGCGTGTTCTCAAAGGAAAGCTTATTTCTTCAGGTGATCATGATTCAGCTATATGGGGGCCATGACAGTACCGTGTTTGTTGTATTTGTAAAATGATATTAAGCGTTTTTCAGTGTTACTTGTATAATTTAGGAGAAAGACAGAAACCTCAAATAAACATCTGATTCCCTGAGCTCTGGTTAAAGTGATTATGCACAGCACAAAGCCTTCCCCAAGGAAGTGCCTTTTGCTGACTCTAGGGTGCTGCACTCTAGGGTGGCTCTGTGCCTGTCCCCAGGAGGATGGGGTCTAGGACAGCACCAGCCAGGGCTCCTGTGGTCCTCATGGCCCCTCGGGAGCCAGCTCTCTCTCTCCTCAGCCAGCCCAGGTGTGTCTTCATGCTAGCAATATCTGCCTTCAACACTTCAGACAACTGTCTGTACCCCTTTCAGTGGGGAAAAAATGTTTAATTCTATATTTCTTAATTTTCACTAAGTTCTCTCTCCCGTAAAAATTTTAAAAATACAGACATTCCTCATTTAACAACCAAGTTTCAGTCCCACAACTAGGTCATTAAATGAATTGGTCACTAAATTAGAAATTGTATATAGTGTGGACATTACAATAGTCAGAAGAAATGGTCAAAGGAAACTCCAACTTAATGATTTTGCTTTTATCTGCACAACTCTTACATGCAGTACTGTGATGTATAACAGAACATAAAACTACAGTACTGGAATGTACAGTATGATCAGCAGAAATCACACTACTGTGCTGTAGAAGCCACCAAAAGGCTGTGCTGCTGCATGCTCCCACATTGGAAGTACAAATGCAGGTCATAAGTCTGAGTAGTAACTGTCAAGTCTGAACAGCGCACCCCAAGTCCAAGCAGTCCTTACACAGGCAGGTTGTTAGATGGCGGAATACCTGTATACAAAGGCTGAGCACTCTTCAAATGAATATCTGAAATGTTCCAAACTCTGCAATTTTTTGAGCTCTGGCATGATGCTTGGTTTTGGATTTTGGGGAATTTTGGATTCTGGACTTTCAGATTAGGGATGCTCAATGTGCAAAATCTACACAAATATTCAAAAATGAAACCCAAAATCTGAAACATTTCCAGTTCCAGCACTTTGGTTAAGGATTACTAAGCCAGGCGAATGCACTCTCTTAGCATTGCAGGCAGGAGGGGGTCAAAGCTCTGAACACCTTTCCTATCACCAGGAAACCCACACAGCCATCTGACTTGGGGAGGGAAACAAACCTGGGCAGTTCTCTCTCTCCTACGTCCCACTTTGAAGGCTGAGGACAGGGCTTGCATACAGAAAGGAAAACCCGGGGTGTGTTTCCTGGGGGTCACCCCATAGACGTGGCTCCGGTCTCTGGCAGGAGTGGCCCTGGGCCCACTGGTTCTGGCATCGACAGCCCCTCACCAGCAGCCACCTGCTCTGTTCACCTGCCTCTCCATCAAGGCTATGCCCCAAGTCCCAAGGCCCACCCCACTCCCAAAGGGCCAGCACCACGCACCGGGCAGCCTATGTAGGCCGAGTTGTGCACACCGGGCGGCCGCTTGTAGGTGCCATCGCTGTCAGTGGTGATGAGCCTGTCCTTCTCAGCATCTGCCGGACAGCCATTGACCTGGTGTTTCCGCCGTGGCTTTGGGGAACGTTTTATCCGAGAGCTGCCAGGAAAAGCAGGAATTCTTTGTAAACAATAAGCCACCTCGCTGCCTGCTCATCAACTAAACACTGCATGTGTTCTGCATGCCTGCGATGTGCTGGCCACTGTGTTACACACCCTAGGTATAGGCAGTATAGCGGTCACCACCAGGGATCCAAGGATGCTCAGAGCCTGCCAAACAGACCTAGCAACATGGAGACCGGAGCAACCAGCAATCACAGCACCATGTAGGTACACAGGCATCCAGAGAAGGAAAGGTCAAGGCAGGCTCTTAATCCCAAGGTGGCCTGAGTGGGGTCCTGAAGATCAGGCAGGGCTGAGGCCAGGAAGGACAAGGCAGAAGGCTGGGAGGTGGTGGCACAGCGCCCTGCACCTCCTCCTCACTGACTTTCATAAGCACAGGCAGGACCTTCCACCTGGCCCTAGGATGCAGTAGGTCCCCCTCTGCCCTGGCCTCAGTTGGGCTCCCATGGCCTGGCCCACCTCTTCCTGGGCTCGATGAACACGGAGGGAACACTGGCTGTGGGGTCCAGGATCTTGTCAATCTGCATCTGTGCCCTGCGGTATACACGGTGCCGCTCCTTGGTGTCGCCCGAGGACAGATCATCCACCACTGGGAACTCGTAGTGGCCTCGGCGCTTGGCACGCAGTCGGATCTTGTTGCGATGGTGCTCTATCTCCGACTTGTGCCGCAGCGCGGTCTGGATCTGGGGATGAGCGGTAAGCAGTGACAGACAGGGTATTCCAGGGGGTCCTGCGGCCCACGCTGGACCTGGTGGGGATGCCTTCCTCTCCCCTCTGTGGACTTGCTGTCCCTAAGCTCGAGGGAAGCACCAAGGGAGGTGACAGGATTGGTACGGAGCTTTATTCCAGCCTAGAATCCTGGCTTCTTCCCCATATTGGGGAGAAACTCACTCTCATCTTGGCAATCAGCCAGGGACAACCCCAAAGACACACTTGTCTGATAACTAGATAAAATATGCTCTGAGAACAGAATATTTACCATACCCAATAATATTACTATTAGAGATTTTTAAAATAAGACTGACAAACCAGGTGTGATGGCACCTGCCTGTAAACCCAGCACTCAGGAGGCTGAGGCAAGAAGACCCTGCTGGAAGCCAGAGGCCAGCCTGGGCCATATAGTGAGTTCAAGGCCAGCCTGAACTACATAGCAAGACCTTGTGTCAAAAAAATCAATAAATAAAGACTGGTGTGCAAAAAAATGCATTACTGATAATTCCCTAACTTAGGGAAACAAGTTCCCTGGCACTAAAGATGGAAGCACCATTGCTGGCCATGCAGGACCTGAACCAGGTCTGCAAGATCAAGCATAAGCTGAGCAGGACCAGAGTGGACCTAAAGGCAGCAGGCTCAGGCCTCTGCCGCAGCTCCCCTCTGAGCATGTGCCTAACAGCACCTTGGCTACTATATAGTCTTTAAAAACCACGGACTGGGCCAGAGATTTAGCTCAGTGGTTCTGGTGCCTGCCTCGAAAGCGCAAGGTCCCAAGTACCAAAAAAAAAAACAAAAAAAAAAACCACAGACAATGTTTTCCATGAAGCATACTTCTTGGCAGCCTGTGCCATCTATGACCATTTGACACTGTACCTCTCATTTGTCTGTAAGCACAGACCAAATCAAAAGGGAACTTTTTTTTATTAACATGCTTTTGAATAAAAGCAAGTACCTCTTTGTTGATTTTGTTGGTTTCTGCCACTCGGTCGGCCAGGATGGGGTGCTGCACTGGAGGGGCTGGGATGGGCTGCATGGCAATGAGCTGGATCTTACTGGGGACCTGCCGGCTGGCCTCCGAGGAGCGGGAAATCCTGTCCACATGCTCAAAGATAGAGGCCGAGGAATGTTGCTCCGTCCCGGAACTGGGCAGTCGGGGGCCTGGAACAGAGAAGCGAAACAAAAAGTCATCCTAAAGAGGCAACACTGGAGCATTTCTGAAAGAATCCTCAGATGAGGCCTCTGACCAAAAATACATCCTGACTCAAGGAGCAGAACTTTGGATTGTGAGTAACTTGTTCTGCAAGTGTTCAGCAAGATGAGCAAGCACTTCTCATAAATTTTAACATGATAAACAAGCAATGTCTTGCAATATGAATAGTACATGACATCGAATGTCACATGACCACAACTGAGCCATTGGTTCCTCCCTCCCCCTCCCTCCTTCTCTCTCTCTCTCCTTCTTCCTCTTCCTCTCTCTCTCTCTCTCCCTCTCTCAGGAGAAAAAAAAACAGATTAAAATGTATACTTAGAAATGACTAAAAAGGTAATTTTTATGTTATGTATATTTCACTATGATAATTTTTAAAGGAATAATGTATAAAAGAAGATATTTAAATGTGCAGAAAGAAAGATAAAAAAACACTTTAAAACATTAACAGAAACTGGGTCTTGGTATAATGAGTGATTTTTTTCAAGTTTCTTGCATTTTCTACCAAGAGGTTTTTCCCTAATGAGCATTAACTGTAGTAGAAATAATCCAAACAGATTTTAATTTTTTTAAAAATAGAAGAGAGAAGAAGAGGGGAATAAGCAGAAAGCTATGCAGTTGAACTGGGATCAGCTGATGTCCCAGTTTTCCTAAGCCATTGTCACCTCCTGCTTTAAAATAAATAGCCAACTGCAGGAGTCAAAGCAGTAGAAACGTTTTTTAAACAAAAGCTGAGGGCCTGGGATTTAGCTCAGTGGTCCCACCGCCTGCCTTGCAAGTGCAAGGACCCAAGTTTGATCCCCAGTAACCCCCCAAAAAACAAAAGCTGAAGTCTTAAAACCCCAAGCAAAAGTGAAAAATGCAGAAGTTTCTTTTCAGTATAAAAAAGACTAAGAGCTGGAAAAGTGATAAGAAATAGCTGATGTTTTATATAAGGAATGCACATCAGTGGTCTGTAGATTTTCGTATTTTCTCTCCATGTGAATTATAGTCACATTATCCCAAGTAATTAGAAATTATTACAATTGTGAATCTCCCACCCAGGAGGCAGCAGCAATTCTTTGCCTGTCTGTGCCACCCCAACAAGCCAGGCACTGCCAGTCCCAGAGGCAGCTCGGCACACAGCAGACAGCCTCTAAACAGAGATCATTACCTTTGCCAGATGGGCTGGCCTTGTCGACCTGAACTTCAGAAGGAGCCACAAATGTCGAACAGGGTGGCCCATTAAGCTACTGCTACTCAGCGAGGAGAAATGGATGCACACAGATTAACACTGTGTGAGTCCTGCCTGAGGGCGAGTAGGGACTTTGGATTAAAACCCCCTTTTCTGCCAGTATTAGTTTTAAAAAGCAATGGTAGAAATTTCATTACATGGTCAAGAGATCTACTGCATATCACAGTGATTACAAAGAATTGCAGTACTGCTATATCTAAAAATAGCTAAGTGAGTAGGCCTTATTCTTACCACACATAAAAAATGATAATCATGTGAGGTATCTCACATTAAACAGATTGCTAAGCCATTCTACAGTATATACATCATGTGGTAACCATAAATATATACATTTGCATCCTGTAGATTAAAATAAGCATTTAAAAAATAATCTGCTATTTAAGACCCCAAAAGGACATAATACAAGACCATATAGGATCATTTTCACCAAGCAGAAAGACAGAGGAAAGAGTACTGCTCAAATGCTTTAGCAACAAGTATTTTTAAGGAACTGTTACTGCATTATCTACAAATAAATGCAGCAAATCACATCACTACCAAGGCTGGTGGCCCACGATCACCCTCGTGAGACAGCAATCACAATTCCCTGCTGTGTTCTCTGTCCTCCACTCCTAACACAGCCCAGAAACTCAGCAAGCACTAAATGGATAATCGACTGACTGACTGCAGTCACCTCAACTCAGTTTTAAGATTTTCTCTTGGAAAGGGGTTTGGGAATCAACCTTATTGAAAAGATGAGAACTATATTTTAAAATTGTAATCAATTTAGAAATAGATGCTTCAAATTCTTCAGACACATATAACTGGGGTAGTTGATCTGGTTGTGAATATTAATTAGCTTGGCAAAGCCTTTAGCAGGTGCAAAAGTAAATTCTCACCCAAAATCCTTGAACTTGGAGTTTGCAGAATTCAAATGAATGAAGTCCTAACTACTTAAACATCAAAAACTTGCACACTCACACCCTAAGGAGAGCATAATGGAAATACCCAGCATTCTGCTGCCCTTAGCTACTTGGCACATTCCCGATGACAGAGAAGAGAAAGACAGAGGAGTCACAGTCAGGGACAGAGGCAGTGACCACAGTGCCATCCCAGCCTGTGCGGCTGCCACCACTCTGGCTGGCACACCATCTCCTCAGTCACCTCTCCTATCACATCCTCACTAAGGTGACCAATCTCACCGTGTGGCTCATCTTAATGCCCAGAACTGTGGACACGGTGGCACATGACTGCGTAATCCCTGAAGGGCTCTTGCAGGGTCATCTGGGTACATATTCAGGCCCAGTCACTTTCCAGGAACAGCTGGGCCAGGAGTAACGCACAACCTCGAATTTACCAGAACTGAAACAGCAGTCTTTTCTGAGCTTCCATCGAAGGGGTAGGAGGGAGGAGGGGCTTAAAATGCCAGATGACCTGGGACAGCTGTCAAGTCTTGCCAAGAGCCCCAGAGAGAGCTAGCTGGTGCCTGTGAAAGGTGCAACAGGACAGAGGACACTGCCGGTGCCAGGGCCACACAGAGGAGGGTGTCAGGGTGGTTCACAGCCTCCTGCCCTGAAATAATTTTTATTTCATTTTACTTGTAAAAAAATGGATTTTTATGTGAATTCTGGGATAACTCAAAAGCTGTGAGAAAAACTAAGAATCTTGTTTATACAATATTTAATGAGGTTCTATGCAAGCAATAAAGTACCTTTACAGAAGCATTAAAGCTATCTAATGCACCTTTTAAAAAGGAAACAATCTAAGGTGCACTGATACATGGAGTGAGAAAACTAGCTCTCTACACATGAAAGCAGTGCGCAGACCCTGGTATCCTTCCCCATTAGGACAGCAGCGCCTGAGTCCCCTCCCTCCTACATAGTCGGCTCTCACCCCCACGGCTGAAGTGCTTGCTACCCTGACTTCTAACTATGTGCTGAGTGACTCCTGATTGTTGTTAACTTTGCAGAACACACCGGCTTCGACACTCTCGGAAAGAGTCAAATGCAGGCACTAAAAGCAAGACATTCTCAGGCAAGCAATTAACACATACTGTGAAAACTTACTCAGACATTTCTTTCCTAAGATTAAAACTAGACTTTAATCATGTCTATCTGAAACACGGCACCTGTTACCACGGTGCTAAGTAGTTTTTAAGAGTCTGAGAAACTAGATCCAAAGAAAAAGTTCTTCCTGTCTTTTAAGAGGAGTATGTCCTTAAGATTATAAAAGAATCAGCAGGAAAGGGAGAAAGGGTCTCAAGAATGGGCAGTTCGTCCCCCCAGGAGCCTTGGGGGCTTAGGGACCTGCAAGGCCACAGGAATGTCAGGGACAGCAGAGGCCTCTGGGCTTCAGTCCAGAATCTCTTCATTTATAAAGCACAGTTCACTTGTTTGTTTCGTTTTTTTTGTACAGGGGATCAAACTCAGGACCTTGTGCTTGGCAGGCAGGTGACGCCACCACTGAGCTAAATTCCCAGCTCAGCACAGTTCACTTGTGCTGCACTTTCATACAGATGTATTTGTGATTTTTACAATGTAACCATAAAAACTGCTATTTCAAGTAAAACGCAAAGCTTTCCAATTATCTTTGCATTACTGAAACACAATCCTGAAATATAAATAGAGCTCCAGCCAATGCACCAGCTGACAGATACATTTACTTAGCAGAAAAACCGAGCTATCTTTCCCTTACTCCAAACCCGCTCCCAAGGCTAGGAAGGCCTATAGGCACAGTTGTCACAGAGCACAACTCTCATTGTAATGACCTTAAAGGGAATGAAGTTCACTTCTCACCTGGCTTACAACACCCTTTCTGACCCCAGTCCAAAGATGCTAAGCCACCTGCTCACACCACGCTGCCTGCAGGAAGACAGATCTCAGAACAGGACCACACACAGCGGTGTGGACAGAACTTTCTGAGTGCAACAGCTGTGCGCTCCTTGAACGGGATCCTAAGAAAGTCACGGTGCTGGGGCTGGGTGTTAGGACTATGGTTTCCATTCAGTTCCTCCATGTCCTTCCTGCAGGAAAATCATGTGGACTCTACACTAGGCTGAAGCGGGGCTACCAACCTTACGACGCACCTCAGTGAAGCCCAACCTCTTGCACAGTCTCTCACCCCAAAGCAGATGCCAAGGCAGTTGGTGACAACTGATGCTGAGAAATTCACATGAATACACATGAAACTCACATGCACAGCCCATTTCACAAATTAAAAAAAAAATTTAGCCTCTGAAGTGGCTTAAAACCAAGGCCTGTGGGAATCTCATGGCTGCTTTAATGTGAAGAATGAGGGATGTCACAGACCACTCTGCGGGGCACGGTGGGCTTTGCCCTCGGGAACCGCTGCCGGCGCCTTATCTCCTGCTTCCCTCTCACTGGACTCCTCACTGACGGTAGAGTCGGCATCAGAGGGGGAAACTCTGCAGACACAAAACAAAATACAAACATTAAAAACAAGAAAGAATAAAAGAAAAGAAAGAAAGAACAAAAATAGAAAGGTCACATTAATTTGGAAGTCAGCCTTCCAGGCACAACTAGTAGAGATGAGACAGTCTAAGGATCACACTAACCTAGCAATTCAACAGATGCTAGGAAACCAAGTGCCAAACTGGAGGACAGTCTCACAGCTTCCGGGGGCCCATGGCCCAGCTCTGGGCCCTGGGTCATTTCTAGACAGGTAGTCTGGGTCTAGACCAAGTCAGATCAAAAAGAATCTGGGGTTTGGGTTTGGGCTTGGTTTGGGGTTAACAGGGCCTGAGAACCCCTAGGAGCCCAGAATGGTTCTGCAGTCACCCCAAACAACTCCAGATCTTTGGAAGATGCCCACATACACAATTCTGGGGCAAGGATCCCTACTGAGATTAGAATCTTTATAAGAAAACATCAAGGGTATTGCAGTACCCAGGTCTCACCAGCACTCCCTGTACTCGGGCTCCCTGGCTTCTGTGACAGTATGAAGTGATAGAAATTCTGGGTCTCCCAGGGATACTGAGATATGCAGTCATCCCTCAGTATCATGGGGCATTGCTTTTAGGGTCCCCGTGGACACTAGAATGTGTAGATACTCAAAGACCCTCATATAAAATGTCACAGTGTTTGATAGAACCTGTGATCATCCTCTGTATTCTTTATATCATCTCCGGACTATTTACAATGTAAATACTAGTAAGTACTTGTCATACCGCTTAGGGAATAATGATGAGAAAAAAAGCCTGCATATGTTTAGTAAAGAGGCAATTTTTTTCCTGAATAGTTTTGATCCATAATCAGTGGAATCTGTGGATATGCAAGCTGAGGGTGTAAAGGGACAACTGTATACACCATGCAGATCACCAAGGTGCTGTGACTAGTGTTCACAGTAAGGTTACTAGAAGGAATGAAATACTTCACAAAAATTTACTAGCATACTAAATTATCTTTAACAACTTGATTTATTCTTAGCTTGCAAAATAAGTAACTAGCATCTCTCTCTGATTTATTTTATAATGATCATACTCTCACATCCATTACACTGTTAAAATTAGGCCAGGCCCCACAAGTAGGTTTTCTGATAAGACAGAAATCATGACATTGTTTTGAATGTTGGTTTTCCCGCATATTTTTTCTGCACTTAGCAGAAGATCAGCAGTTAAGAGTTGCAAAACTCAAAGAAAGGCCAATAATTGGAGGCTCCAGCAGCCAGAGCCTGGCCATGCTATGATCTACAGTCAGCTTCCCAAGACCTGATTCTGAACTTTGTCTTCTTCAATCTCACTCCAGTGCGTCTCACAGTTTCAGAGGGTAACAAGGGACTTCCCGGTGGTTTGGAAAATGAGTGATTCTCCTCATTGCTCTACTCCAATAGAGGGACTAGAATTAATTAGGAATGGGAAGCTGGGCAGGGAGGAGGTGGCAAGGAGTCCCGTGCAGTGTGCTAACAAAGTGACAGCACAGGCAGCTGAGAAAAACAGAGCAAACAGGAGGATGTGGTAAGGTCACCTGCAGACAGAGCAGCAAAGTCATACGCAGCAGCCAGCACCACAGGCAGGGGCACAGAAGGCGCCCCTGGCTGGGAACATGCACTGGGCCTAAAGGCACTGTCATACCTTCACAAGTGGCGACTTCTAGTCTTAAATCACACAGGAATCACACAGCCCACTCCAGTAGCTCAGCAGAGTGGGCTGAGAGCCCTTGGGTCCTTGTGTGACCCACCTACTCACCAGTCTCCCAGGCTCATGCCATTGGCCCTTGTGATATTACAAACTGACAACCTGAAAGCAAACACGTGCTCTGAGATAGAGAACAACCCAGAAAGCCCAGTAATAACCTTCCTCTGTGGCGGACGTTCTTGGAAGGGATCTTGGACTTGGGGCTTGGCACGTCTCCGTTTTCTGAGGGTGTGGTGTGGTCCTTCACAGGTCCCGGCAGTGGCGCTGGCTCGTGAATAATCAATATATCATCTTTATTGTGTTGACCCAGATGTTGCTTGGCAAAATCGAAGCCCTTTACACTAGGGATCTGCAGCTAAAACACACACACAGGCACACACAAACGAGGTGGTTAACGTGACATCTGAGGACAGTGACAAGGCATCATGTGGGTGAACGAGAGGAGCTCATGTCTGACCCAGTACCATTCTGGCAATGCCACCAGCCCAATTCCACAAGCATCTCCAGAATGCTGTGTGTAAGGTCCTGTTTGTACCCAGAATGTGACAGATGCTTGCAAAAGATTAAACAAGAGTACAAGGATTAAATAGCAAGTCCATAACATAAAAGCTATTCCGAGACAGCAGCTGCCCTCCTGCCATAGTGGCAAATCATGTGCTGGTAACTGCAAGAGAGCAGCAGGGTGAGACTTTGGAGGAAAAGGGCACAGGAGCCAGACCTTGATGGCAGGCAGGACTTGGAAGTAAAAGGAAACTACCAAGAGCATGCTCTAGGAGATGTGATAAAAAAACTATGGTGACTATTTTAAGTTTTTAAAAATTTATTATAGAAAAGACACATTGCCATGAATTTCACTCAAAATAATCTCCCTTGCTTCAAACTCTCATTCCATTATCTTGCCACTTTCTCAAGCAGTTCTGGGCGTCCTCCTTCTTATAGTGCAGATTATTATAATCTGTACTTGAGGAGGAAGAATGCAGGGGACTCCAAATGCTAACTTCTCTGGGCAATCAGAAAACCACTTAATGTTTTTAAACATGCAGATTTGTAAGATCCAAGCAGACAAGACACAAAGGACCAGTAAGAGAGCCCAGTGATACCCCATATACATAAAACCATAGAAGCTTGAGTCCAAAATCTTAGCAATGAAGATAGGAAGAAACAGACAGCTCTGGAAAGCTGGCAGAGGAACTAGAAGCCAAACAGGAGCAAGAGTGAAAAGCCACTGGTGACCTGAAAGTTTTTGACAGGGCAGCCAGTGAGGGTGGGACAGAAAGAGAGTGTGAAGGGATGAGGGCCTGAGGGGTAAACGGCAGGTGTCACCCTAAACATGCTTAGTATGAGGTGACAGCAAAGGCCCCAAAAAGCAGCTGCACATGCAGGACAATAGCTCAGGGGACCTTCAGGCTGACAGGTGACACCAAGAGCCATCTCTCCAGAAGGTGGCAGCACAAAAGTTGGGATTTTTCCAGATTAATACAGGTCCAGAGATAAAATGTGGAAGACCATCTAACAATATGGGACTATAAAGAAGGAAAGGAAGCAAAGAGTAAAAGACAAGGTAACTTCCAAGAAACAGAAGAATTTTGAAAGTTCAAGGTAATAGAAGCCAAGGGAAGAAAGAACTTCTAGAAAGGACCAACACCAAACCCACAACCAGACCTGTGAGCTGCAACATGGACCAATGAGACAGGAAGGTGAGACAGGAAGGAAACTCGAGGTGCCCAGGGATGTGGGAACCTTTTTGTTACTAGTGCTAGGATTCAACCCAGAGGCTTGTACATGGTTAGACAGGAGCTCTACTACTGAGCTACAGCCCTGGCCATTTCTGATGATGATGATGAATAATTTCTTTAAATCCAGCTTCCAGAGCATAAGAAAATAAACTACATATTAAAAAAGCATCCCAGGGCCGGGGATTTAGGTGAGTGGTTCCACCGCCTGCCTCGCAAGTGCAAGGTCTTGAGTTCGATCCCCAGTACCAAAAAAAAAAATCATCCCAAGGGGTCACCTCAGCAGGAACACTTCTTGTAACCAAAGCCCTCCTCAGACAGTTTTTGAGGCAAAAGACAAAATCACCCAAGTCTAAGAAGTAATTTTCAACAATATAGTGCATATAAAAGCAAAAGTGTTTATTGTATTTGCATTAACTGTATCACAAATAAGTGACACTGGTGGCTTAGGTTGGTGACCCAAGGTCTTTCTGCCACCAAAACTCCAGGATGGATGGAAGAAAAGTGACCTGCAAAAATGATTTCTACCAGCAGAGGGGGACAAAATGTACCATAAAAGTAGTTTACAAAGAGTTGCTCAGAAACAAAAGGGAATACTGACTGATCACCTATATTCTCCAAGGAGATCCTGTTACTCTGCACCACGCACCCCCCAGGCCCACTCTGCAAAGGAGAAAGCTCAACCTGCCACTGTAGGAGACTGCATTACCACAGGGTGATACCAACTGGGCCCTTGGGTGAGAAAGAATCAGCGAGAGCAAAGCAGACAGGGCAGCAGTGAGAAATCTCAAAGGCACTGCCTCATCCCCTCCTGGGACAGGCCCAGCCGAGGCTCTGCACTTACCTGTCTCACTCAGAGGAGGGATGCTCAGGCCCTGCTGTGTGCCTCGCCGGGAAGCACCCGTGTGCCTTGACCTGCACGCTGGCTGGGAGGTCACCAGCCTCATATCCAAAAGCTCTGCAAGCCCTTATTCCAACAGGGGTCTCAAGTTGGGTCTTAAACCCACATTTTACATCAAAGGACAAAAGAGTGAAATTTTCAGTCCATTGCTCTATTCTACTGACATTCTTTTCATTATGGAAGGAGGGGATGATGGCAACCTTGTCATCAAAAAGAGGTTTGTGTGAGGGAGAATTAGATGAACGGCGCAAAAGGAGAAAAGAAGAATGGGAGAAAGTTCGAAAACCTGAAGATCTCAAAGAATGTCCAGAGGAGGTTTATGACCCTCGGTCTCTCTATGAAAGACTGCAGGAACAGAAACAGAGGAAGCAGCAGAAGTGTGAAGAGCAGTTCAAATTCAAAAACATGGTAAGAGGCTTAGATGAAGATGAGACCAACTTCCTTGATGAGGTTTCTCAGCAGCAGGAACTAATAGAAAAGCAACGAAGAGAAGAACTGAAAGAACTAAAGGAATACAGAAGTAATCTCAACAAGGTTGGAATCTGCAGAAAACAAGAAGGAAGTGGAGAAGAAACTGCCTACGAAACCAATAGAAACCAAGAACAAGTTCTCCCAGGCACAGCTGTTGGCAGGAGCTGTGAAGCATAAGAGCTCAGAGAGTGGCAATAGTGTGAAAAGACTGAAACCAGACTCTGACCCAGATGACAACAGTCAAGAGGCCCCATCCAGTGTATCTGTTGGAAGTACCTCCCTGAGCAGCCCGTCCATTCACTGCCCACCGTCGCTGTCTGCATCAGCATCCTCCCAGGCCTGGGAGGCTACTTGGAGAGCAGAGACTGAGTCCAGCTCAGACAGTGAAGGCACCATCAACGCCATGGGGAAGATCGTCTCCTCCATCTTCCAAACCAACGCCTTCCTGGCGGCGCCCTAGCTCCTATCCTTCCCACAGGGAGCTCCCCTAGAATGGTCAGACAGTCCGTTTTGCCTCTAGGCACTACCTCCCTCCAGAAACTCCTTTGCCACCCCCCTATGCACACCCTGACACTTTTAACCTCAACTAAAAATGTGCCAGATCACTTGTGGCCAGAACTGTGTTTGGTCTCCTTTCTGCTGTAGTGCAGATGACCAAACCAGTCCCACTGCCTCTTCCTCTCTGACTTGGTAGGGTGGGTGTAACCCGCAGAAGCTCTGCCTGAGGGGATCAGCACAGCTACCTAGCAGAGGGTGCTGCTGGGTTTTGTTGCTTTCTTGTTTTCTCTTTTTCCTTTCCCAACAGCACCAGAAGCAAGGGCAGTTGTTGCACAGGTGTTATTTAAAGTTTATTGTAGACATATGTGTTGTTCAGTTCGACTGCACTGTGGAGCATGTGGAGACAAAGCTGACCAGTGGAGAAATGGAGGACTTCCCTGGAACTAACCCCTCCGTGATGTCGTGATGTCATGATGTCGTGATGTCGTGTGCTAAGTAAAGATAATGAAGTCCATCTGCGGGGAATGTCAGTTGACTGACACCAGCCTTCATTGCGAAGTTTGCCTTACTGTTGGCCACTCTTTTCCTCTCCATCCAACCCCATTTGTATAGGAATGGTCTGGTAATGAGCAAGCTTTTATCTTCTGCTCAGATCTTTTCTCTGCCTGGCAAATTATTTTGTTTTTGATTTTGAAATAAAAGATTTAGTTTAAGATTTTTTTTAAAACAAAGAAAGAGTGAAATTTTCCATGGTTTTTTTTTCCTGCTTTTTTGTTCTGTTTTAGTTTAGCTTATTTTTTTTGAGACAAAGACTTGCTATGTAGCCCAGGCTGGCCTCAAACTTTCGATCCTCCTGCCTCAGTGCTAGGATTATAGGTATATGTCATGGCTCCCGGCTCCATATTTACTTCTGAAAGATCAAAATCACAACTTCAAATTAAAGGAACAAATACTAGAGCTAAAATAGAACTGCATACATTCTTGAACATTTACTCAGACTTGCAGGATATTTTCATGAACGCCTTGAACCCAACTATTGAACACTGCAATACTTGTGTTCAGGCCACCTAATAAAGTCTTTTCCTCATTGTCCCTCATGGCCTCTCTCTGTTTATTTGTTATCCTGTTTACTGTAAATTTCCATAAAAATTTAACTGTACTCTTATTATATATGTGAGAATTCAGCAAGCCAGAAGCAACTCTTGAACTTCAAAAAAAACCTATTTCATAAGATCAGATGGATTCCTATCAGACTTTGACATGCTGTCCTAATTTACGGAGCACATAATTATAAATATTATTTTCACCTTGAAAAGGAATGACAAACCCACTACATAATTCTCAAGTGTCCATCTGCTAAGCCTGTTTAAGATCCATAGAAAATTAAAATTTGACACTGATTGTTCCTAGCTGATAGCAAAAACCTGAACAAGCAATTTCCAGTTTTAGGACACTGCATTGGTCCTGCTGCACCTCCTCTCAGCTCCTGAAACAAAGTGAAAGAGTAACAGACAGAATCAATGATCCTCTAACCACTGCCACCACCATTTACTAAACCTCACTGCAATCTTTCTTGGTATATTTCCAGTAAGAAAGAGCATGTCCCTAAGGACTGGGCAACAATCTCTTTTAGCACATTATGAGTTTGCTCTAACCAAATTGGAGGAGCTACAGGTTACCTCCTCAAAGCAAAGAGCAATATAAAGACACAAGCAGTACTGGCTTCTTCAGTACTGTGTGCATGGCTCATGTCTAGGCACTAAACACCTTCCCTGAGAAACTGTCAGGGCTTGTGTAGGAAACAAACAGGATGATGCACATGAAAATATGGCAAAAATGTCAGAGTACTATACAAACACAATTGGTGACTGACAGCATTATAATCGCTGTTGGGTGATGAGACCTCAAGCAGTTCAGATAAATAGCTGAGTTCTCAGGCATTAGATACAGCTATAGATATAAATTTAGATACGATAGTTTGAAAGTCAGCAACAGGATGTGACACTTGGTAGACCCTCAATAAATATTTGATGACTGAATGAACTCCAGAAAGATCAGCTGAAGCACCCAACTTACTGGATTTTATGAGATGCCAAGAAAAGATCCTATGTCATAAATGGAATATGCAAGTCCTACGGTTCACTGCTCATCCCCAACTATCATCTTTAAAAACACATCTTGTAGGCTGGGTAAGTTGCAGTCTTCTACAGCAGTAGAAATTGGGCAACTAATCTGTGTTTACAGACAAAACAAAAGCCATCTACACAAGAGAAAAAAATCTGAGCAGCACCCTCATCTCCTTTGTGGAATTCACTCATTTTCTTTCATTTCTACTTTTCTAGACCACTCTACCTAGTTTTTCCATTTCCTTTTTTTATTTTCTTTTTTTAGATCTAGAGTTAAGCCTGCCTAGCATTATTATATCCCCAGCCTCCACATGCAGAATAGGCTTCAATGAGTATTTTATAAAAGACGAGTTGAGATTAATTAGAGTCTTCAATATTCATATTAGGGCCCACTTATTTCAGAAGAAGGATGGTTCTTTTGTTCTTTCTTTCTTTCTTTCTTTCTTTCTTTCTTTCTTTCTTTCTTTCTTTCTGCAATATAACACAGACGGGACAGGCCAGATTGTCTATGCCCTGCTAAAATACATCATCCAACAAGTCAGGGAGGTCTGGGAGAACAGGTCAGCCAAGTAACAAGAGATGCCTGATGAATTCAAAAACATGTGGGCCATAAATATAATGAGAGCCAGATGGACCGAGGCACAATGAAGTCCCCAGCACTCAGGGTTAGCCTGACCCCCCTGGGAAGGAGCAGTTAAGATGACAATAGAAACCACAGCACAAATCTCAACAGTGTGTGAATAAAAATGTGCAAGCCCGTAGAGCCTGCCACTGTCAGCATTTGTTACTTGATGGGTGAAATTTGTGAAAACTCCACATGACCACCATGCTGTTTCCACTCAGAAGGTGAGGATAAGGGGAAGTTTCTGCCATCTGTCTGTCTTCAGCGTGGCGGGCAGGGGGACCCTGGTAACCCAGGGGAGGGGGCGGCACTCAAGCCTACAGCATATCACAAACAGCTGACTGAGCAAAGTGCCACTCCTGCACCCTGCACGCCGCAGTGGGAGTCACAGCAGAGCCCACAGACTCTAATAGCAGCCCTGGCTGCTGGGCTGCATCTGCAGAAGGAGAGAAGCACTCATGAGGCTCCTTGGAGCCTCAGTCTGCACTGCCTTCCAAGGGACCATTGCAAGTGAAAATGTCCCTGCAGAAAAGCCCGCGATGGCTGCCCGCTGCCCCAGCACCAGCTCCGGTCTTGGGGCCTGGACCGCCCTTCTCTGCCTGGGTGTGGGCTGTGCCCCAGCTTTCCTCAGCTACTCTGCTCCCACTGCCACCCAAGTCGCCCCCTTTACCTCTCCCCTCCTGTCCAGCAACACCTGCTCTCAGGAGACAGAGGCCTGATGTCTGCTTTTGCTAACTGGTCCTTCACCCTCACTGTCTGTCACTTCGCCTGGCTATGCTAGCTCAGAAGTTTGGCTCCTGGACATCCGTGGGCCAGGGCTCCCTCTGGCTGCCCGCAGCGCCAACCTCAGGAGCAAGCAAGGGTGCCAACCACTTAGGGGCCATGATGCCAGACCAGTGACTGGGTGTGGACTGTCCTCATCAGAAGGAACAAGTTCCACAGAGAACACCACCCCCAGCCGATGCTTCTCACGGTAAAGAGGATCCAGGCTAGGGGTTTTTAGGCAAAATTAACAATTTCTTTGAACTATAGATAAAGGAAAGACACATGGTTTTATGCGGGTTTTTTTTCTTTGTTATTTGAAATTTTAAAAAGGGCCCTGCCTCAACATATGACAAAATGGCCTCTCCCACTTAGCGTATTCCAAAAATAATCGACTCCCAGACAACCTGAAGAGGTCTCCTTCTCATTACAAGGGGAAGGGGGTGTGGATTGTAGGTCGGCAGACTTACTGCTTCCAGATGTTTGCAGCTCTGGATTTGCTAACGGATTTCAAAAAGTATCACAAGGCAGCATCAGGGTGGGGTGAGTGTGGTGGAGAGAGAAAGCAGAAAGCACAGAAACAGGGGAAGGAGGATGACAGTATCCCCACAGTGTACCCCCGGGAACAGAGCACAGGCCCTTCATGACTGCCACACAACCTCAGAAGAGGGCAGAGGAAGTAGGGAGTCTGTTCTGAAACTAAAGAAAGATCACCATTTTCTTACTGCAGACCCATGAAAAGATCTATATGGCAGGTTTCTGCACCAGCAAAACCAGACCCTGCTTCTGAAACCTGGCGAGGTCTTGCAGGGAGCTTTGTGCCAAGGACCTCAGCCGTAACCAGCTGGAAATGCGTCTGTGCAAGCTCACAGCACCTGAAGGCAAAGAACAACTCCAAGGCCTGGAAGTTCTATTCGCCACTCTGCCCAATTGACTCACAACAACCTGTGGCATGCAGAAATATTTCGGATGTAAAAGTGTGAGAAGGAACAAGTGTGGGGAACATCCTACTTTCAACCCAGAGATGCTGACCCTGGTTGTTCACTGAAGTACAGATAATGGATGGGCTTTCCCAGGGAGGGTGGATGGATGTCAAGGAATTTGGACCAGAAGAGCCCTAAACACATAATCACTGGCACTGGTTAAATGTCCCTGTAACAATATCCTTTCACCAGAACAAGAACATTTCCTAGCCTATTGTGGATTTTACTACAATGAAATTCACACTATGACTCATTCAGTATGTCAAGGACTTCTTCCATGCCATTCACTAGTGTAACAACAACACAACACCCTCAGCAGGCTATGCAAATAATAAATGAAGACAGGCAGTAAACATAGTATTCATGTATAAAATGCTTCTAATATAGCCACATGCTTGCAACTTAATCAAGATTTTGTAATTTTGGGTAAATGCATAAGGAATCACTTTTACAAACGCAAAATAAATTTTAAAATGAAACTTTTCTTCATTTGACAGGGCAAGGTTTATAATATGCAGAATTCTTCATACTGAGACAATCAACAAAATTGAAAGGTTATGAGGTGCCAATTGGTTTCATTTACAATACTAGTTTATCTCAGTTCAGTTGAGAAGAAATAGTTGTGTTATTATGTTTCTTTTTTGTAACAATCTTTTTGACTTGTCCTCTAAGTAACTACTTTGAAGATAATGATACACCGTACAACAACTATTGTTATTCTCTTACTATTTGCTTAAGAAATTTTATTTTGTTTTCATAAAATAAAAATATAAGCAGATACAAAATTAGAGAATATACATCTAATTTTGCTAATAAAATGTTAGAATCAGTAAGAATAAAAAAAGTTTCTAGGGAAATCCTTTATTCCTTATTCTTTTGCCTTTTACTTGTTTATTCTTAAACTTGCAGAGTAGAGTCCTCTAACAGTTTAGATCTGTAGTGGGTACAGGTTAATTAACACAGTAGACTACCATTTCTCGTTCCCTTGGTAAATGCACTGACTGGCATTCATGCTGGGCTAAACGTCTGCAGCTAGTAGTTCTTCTCCAGGAGACTGGCATGGTTTTGCTCACACTAGGTGATCTAGATGCTGCCTCAGAGTCAATTTCTTTGCCCGAAACCTGATGTGACAGTCAAATATTACAGAAACAGTTGAAACATACAAGTGAAAAGAGAATTGCTATTTCCACAAAACTAAATTGAATGCTTTGCAATGACACATAAAAAATGGGTTGCTAAAAAAAAAAAGCATTGCTGTCAAATTAGAGGTAGGCCAATCAACTTTTAAAAACTGGAGTGGATTGTGGAAGGAGGCATTGAAAAAAATCAAGAGAGTTTTGCACTCAGATTGCTTTGCTGTTCCCTAAAGAAACCCAAATGGGAAACTGCAGCTCATACAGGATGGGTATTGTTTGTTAGGTGAAAAATCATACAGAGCTCCTCTCAGTACAGCAACACTCAGAACAAACAAACTGGGATACATTGAAAGACTGGCAAATAAATGTTCACGCCTGTATTTGAAGTTAAAATGTTTAAGGCACATATACCAATTTTTAACAATTAAGTGGTCTTGATCAAGTGGATGAGGTCTTCTAAAATGGTGAATGGGACATAAAGGAGCCATCAATGGGGAATTCTGTATGAAAGACTTAGATACATTGATCTGAGAAACTTCTCTTGGTCCCTGTTCTCTGAAAATATCCAGGAGTGAAATAGAATTCACACACAGAAAGGACAGAATCTTCAACTGACCCTCTCAAAAATAAAATCATGGTAGATCTAGAGCTCCTGGCACACCTAAGCCTTTACACACCTTCCTGTTCGTGAAATGTACAGTATTTACCACTCACTACAGAAGCACTGGGTTTGGGTAGTAGACACCGCCCTATGGTCCAGAAGGCTTCCTCAACAACCCGCTCCCCGACTTCAGTATTAAGAGCCTAGATCGCTTCTGTCCCACAAGACTGCTTGTGTGAACACCGAGAAGCTGGCCTTACCTTCTGCCGCTGCTGAATGTTGGCCACAGTGTCAGGCTGAAAGTCCAGCTTGTCTGTGCGGCACAGTTTCCAGTACAAGATGACGATGATCACTGTCACCACCAGCACTGGGATGACCACACCAACGATGAGCCACAGGTTGTTGCTCTGGGACTCCAGCGATGGCCTCTTCACCCTGTCCACAGCTGCAGAAGAGGAAGCAGAGGGTCTCAGTGATGCCTTCTAACTCACACACTGGTCTGGATGTGCCTCCTTCCAGGAGAAAGCCGGAGAGGGGCTGCCATTTCCGCTCAAGACAAGAGTATAGGTTTTACTCTCCAGATGACAGGAGATGAAATGCAGCAAACACACACAACACTAAAGGTGGCATGTGGAACACATCAGGGCCAGGATGACGTGTGAGGTATATCTGAAGGCTCGGGGCTAATTTAATGGCAAAGCTCAGTTGGTCCTGGGTTTCCTGACTTCTAGTTTATTCTACTAGTTCACCCCGAAATTCTCACTGCAGGGCGTTTCTATACCAAAGGTGGCCCTAAACAACATTGTTGTTGCTGTTGTTTTGGTACCGGGGATCAAACTCGGGTCCTTGCGCTTGCACAGCAGGCAGCGAAACCACTGAGCTAAATCCCAGGCCCAAAACAACATTGTTCAAAGCAGTTCTCCTCAAAAATGCTCACGGGGGCGCATGAGCCAAAACTAGGAGGTTTGGGAAAGGACATCCTCCCCTATCCCCAACCTCTCCTCTAAGGCCCTCACTTATCCAAAAACATTTATTAAGGGGGAGACACAGTTCTAAACACGGCAGACAAGGATGAACAAGCAGATAAACCCCTCAAGGATCACAGGTTCTGCCCAGCCATGGTGAGGCACCCTGTGATCCCAGCACTCGGGAGGCTGAGGCAGGAGGATTGTTATGAGTTTGAGGCCAGTCTGGGCTACATAGTGAGTTCAAGACCAGCCAATTGCATAGAGACTGTCACAAACAAAACAAAACAAAAAGAGCACAGGGTCTAGTGAGGGAAGGGAGAATCACTGAGGAAACAAATCATCAATGTTTTAGTGCAGAGTACTGTAGCACTGTACACCAAGAGGAACAACTAAGGCAACACAAAGTGAGCACAAAGGCAGTGGGTCATTACCACTTCAGCAGCTGGATGTTTACAGAGTCAGCACTGTCCACAGCAGCATCGATCATAGTAGCCAAAGGTGGGAACAACCCAAATGCCTATGCACAATTGAGCAGATAAACAAAACATGCAACATCCATACAGCAGATATCATCCAGCTTTTAAACGGGAAGGAAATGCCAATATACGCTACAACATGGATAAACCCTGGAAATGTTATGCTGAGCAAAAGAAGCCAGACACAAAAGGATAAATATCACATGATCCACTTCTATGAGGTACCTAAAACAGGCGAATTTATAGACACAGAAAGGACAGTGGTGACTGGGATTGGGGTACATGAGTGAAGGGGTCTTACTGAACAGGCAGTTTCTTTTGAAAGGATGGAAAACTCCAAGATGGACTGTAAGGATGGATGCAAACATTGTGAATGCAGTTCACACCACTGAACGGTGCAGTTAAAAGTGGTGAAAATGGTCGATTTTATGCGACATATATTTTACGACAAATTTTTTATATATAATCAGTCTACGGCCATACCACCCTGAACACGCCCAATGTCATCTGATCTCGGAAACCATTTTTTATACATAAGTAACGTGATCCTGAAATTTTTCTCAAGGAAGCTTCGAGGTTGGAACTGAAGTCCTAACCTATGGTTCATGGGCACTACCTTCAGCTTCTCTTCTGTGACTTACTCTGAGCCCTTGAAATACGCACTTTAATAGTAACTCCTTGAAGGCACCAATGTCAATTTTTTTTAATTAAATAAAAGAAAATCTTATTCCTTTGGACCCTGCCACTCCCAACTCACCCATACTCAGCTCTCTCATCTTTCACACCTTGGATGATCCTGCTTCCTCGCCTCTGTGCTCCCAAATTTATTTCACTGGCTCCTTGCCCACCCCTGCTCCCAGGATGGGGCCTTGTGTCCTCTGTGTCCTGGGTTCCTCCTCCCTCAGACTTGGCTTCCCATAAGGCTCAGTGCTTCTCCCATTCAGACCCAGTTGTGTAACCCAAATGTCCCTCTTTCTACCCAATCTTTTCATCCCTTATGGCTCTTTCTTAACAATACTAATCTCTCCTGTATCTAAAGTCTTTTGTTCTTCTTGTCTTTGTTTTGCAGATGGTGCCTTATTATTCTTTTAAAACACCTCTTATTACATAAATCTATCAGCTTGATACACCGCACCACTTTGCACATTACTCTGGCCATGATGCCAAGTCTGCTCTGTTCAAATACATCTCAGTTATCGGGACTGTCTATACGCCTTCATCCCCTGCAATGGACCATCCCTCCCTTGGGATCCAAACGTCTCTGCCTGAAGATATAATAACTGAAAAGACTCTTGGGGCAGGTGTATGCTAAGAAAACGAGAGAGAGAGCAAGCCATCCCCATCCCACAGACTAGGAGACAGGGAAAATTACAGCAGAGAAAACAGAAGACATGGGAGAAAGTGACAAAGTGTTAAAAACTGATATTTTAAAATTTGTCTGAATTTAATTTATATTTGTAACTCAGGGCCGGGGATTTAGCTCAGTGGTTCCGCTGTCTGCCTCACAAGCACAAGGTCCCGAGTTCGATCCCCAGTACCCAAAAAAGTATATATATATATTTGTAATTCATTCGGCACAAAAATAACTGACAATATGAAAGTAGTGATGGCATCAACCAAGAAGCAGAGAGATATTATTCTTAGTTCTAACCTAATAAAACATCAGAGAGGCAGAGATGGGGGAAAGCGAGGTCTTGACACCAGTGTCCCCAAGGCACCTGGGCTGGTCCTAGTGCTGGCTGAGGCTTCCTTCTACCACCATCCCTGAAGTCCCAGGATTGTTGCCCACGTTTCTGGCATGAAACGGAAGAAGGAGGGGGTAAGACCAGGTGGGAGGAGGCTTGCAAGGCACCCATATCCTGCTGCAGCCACCCTTGTTTAAGATGCCAGCGGAGGGCAGACTCTGACAGCCAGGACTGTCACACACAGCTCGATGGCAGGCAGTGCTTTTGCTATTACTTTCTCACTGCTCTGGAACAGGCCACACTCCTGCGCCATCAGATCTCAAATACTCCAGCACTACCTGCCTAATGTGTCTCGTCCACTCTCTCCCTTCCTCTTCCATCAAATGGGGAAAGAACCTCCGGCTACCAAGGATAAGTTTGAAGCTGTCATTTTTTTCAAAACTGCTTTGTCTCCTGCACATTCTCAGTAAAGAGTTTTTCAGTACTATCAGACGCTAAGACATTTCCTGACCCCTTTATGGCTGGGAGCAAGTTTCACTGGGCTTTTACAAGGCCCATAGAGGAGACGTATCCACGGTAAAATACCAGGCTGGTTCATTAAGGTCTAGTTAGAGAAATGTGCTCTTCATGCTTCCCCTTTTCCTTCATTTTAAATGTGTATCCAAAATCTGAAAAGGTGGAAAAGAGGCACTGGGAGCAGCCACCGCCTGGCTGGCAGGCAGAAGCCAGGTCCTTTCCAACAATAATAAAAAAAAGTAGCAAAATAACTCCTTCTAGACTGTGGAGCAGTGTGAGGATAGGGTGGGAGAGCAGTGGGACTGGAAAGGGCGAGGATCAAGGATTTCTTTGTGTTTGCAGACCCTGAAGGAAGCCAATAAACCCAGAGTGCCCCTCCCAGCTTCCTGTATGACTCACTGTTCCCACCAATGATTGGAACATGACACAGAGGATTTTGGAATAAAAGCAAAACAAGCACCTTATTTTACCTAAGACAAACATTTTTAAAAGAGAAATGGTACAGGCATTGGAGAAGGGAATTAAAGTTGATCCCAGCACTCAGGAGGCTGAAGCAGGAGAATCACCACCAGTTTGAGGCTAGCCTGGGCTACACAGTGAGTTCAAGGCCAGCCTGGACTAGTTGGTGAGACACTGTCTCCAAAATAAAAAAAAAGTTGATGTAAGATACAGTAACTCACTAATACTGTGGATACAAAACGGCTAGGTAGAAAATATAGCCCCACTGGCCAAGATAATAAGCAAATGAAATGTGCTTATTAAAAGAGGTCTCAGCAAATGAACTCTAACAATAGGCATCCTAGGCCAGGGGTGGTGGCTCACACCTGTAACCCCAGCAATGAGAGAGGCTGAGCCAGGAGGATCTCAAGTTCAAGTCCCTTCTGGGCAACTTAGCATGATCCTTTCTCAAAATTTAAAAAATAAAAATAAAACAAGGAATGAAGGGCAGGGGATTTAGCTCAGTGGTTCCGCCGCCTGCCTCACAAGCACAAGGACCTGAGTTCGATCCCCATTACCAAAACAAAAAAAAACAAGGGATGAAGATGTAGCTCAGTGGCGAAGTGACCCTGGGTTTGATCCACAGAACTACCAAAAAAAAAAACCCAAACAAAGAAACCAAGCATTTTACATGTAATGCCTGTTCATAAGTGTTTAAGACACAAGTCTAGTGTACACACATCAGAATACCATAACTTCACAGCTCACTGTCAGAACAATCCAGACAACACACCTCCTGAACTTACGCTGAGCAATAGTGCCTTGAATTCGGTATCCCAAGATGATGGCTGCTCTCTGGAGGTCGATCTTATTAATCAAATCAGAAGACGTGACGGCACTGAGTCTCTCTCCATCCTGATCCTCCACAAAGTAGATGAGCTGCACGGGATTGTCGTCTCCCTCCAGCCTGGACACATTCACCACCTGAGAGATCACAGGAGCCATCAGCATTGGGAAAGCTCATGTTTCCAGATGCCTTTCTTGGGCCACTTAATCCTGACTGTGTTGCCAGGAGTCATTCCAGGCCTCACAATAAGCTCCTTACACCAGCCAGAGCTCTGGATTGCCATGGCACTTGCCCTCAGTGGGAAGAGAGACCACAAGATGAAAGTTCCTCTGTGCAGAATACAAACATGCTTTGTCTGGCTCAGTGTCTTCTCTGAGACAATGGGGCCAGTGAGACATGCAGAACACAGGCTCGGCAACTCCAGGGAGTCTGGAATTGTTACCAAGGAGTTCCAACATGCTACCATGTCACGGGAGGGTGACGCTATCCTTCCACCTACAAATGGTTCCACCGAATCCATTCTTGAACCAATTAGCACTTCTTCCTCCCAAAACCTTAGAACCACTGCTATTTTGGGTAGACAGTTCTTTGGCAGAAAGAGATGTTAGCAGGATCCCTGCTCTCCACCTGCCATATGCCAGTAGCACCTGCCCCCTACCCACACAATGTGACAATCAAAATGTCTCCAGACATAATAAACCTTAGAAATTTGTGCTCTTGTGGGCCCAATAAAGCTCTGATTTACCCCAGAACTTCTGTGTGTGTGTGTGTGTGTGTGTGTGTGTTAAAGCACAGTCCTTTCACGTCCATACTTAGAATCTAGTACATTTGGTATACTAAGTACTGCACGAAAACAGCATTTTATTTTATTGCCATTTCTCTTAATAACATGCAATCATTTTATTGCCCCTCTAGACTCCAGCAAAACACTGGGCTGGTGTTCTGAGAAAAGGGTCAACAAATGCTTTATCTCACACATGCAACTGGAATTTTTGATCTGTACATTTGCTGTTGGCAAAACACAGCTGCTACTTCACTATCCATACATATTTCTGTGACACCACCCTGCACTCTGCAACAGCAACTGGACCCACCCTTGGCCATAGAAAAACTTCTGGCAATTCAACAGTTTCTTGATTTCACTGTGAACTCCTTCTTCAAGATCATGTCCCAAGATCCTTCACGACTCAGGCCTGAACTCTAAGCCCTCAAGAATGTGCCTTAGTCTTCATCCTTTGTCCTATCTTTTGCTTGGTGTTTTGAGGCCAGTTTCCCAACCACATCTACTCCCTAACCACCTACCCCACCCTACAATGTGCTGGAACAATGTGTTCTCAGCTTGGGAATGAAGCACTATCAAAGGGCTATTGGGAATTTAGGGTATGATATCTACCTGTCCCTCTACCATCTGCTGATTCATTCTATTAAAAAGTTCAGGTAAATTTAGAAAATATGGTTTCTCCTTATAGAAATTACAGCCACCTTGATTATAGACATCAGAAAGTCTCACTCCAATATCCTTTCTAGGTGATTGCGAATCAGACTCAAACCTGGAACCATGACAAGCACAATACCCCAGGGTCACCACTTTGGGTAATATTTTCAATTTCATCTTAAAAATCAGATTCCGGGGCTGGACATGTAGCTCAGTGGTAGAGCACTTGCCTCGCAGGCATGAGACCTGATCCCCAGCACCACAAAACAAGCGAGCAAAGCACAAAATTAGTTTCTGATCAAAATCACACGCTCACTATTGACATTATATGGCCCATTGGAAAAATTCTGAAAAACACATGCAAAAAAGTATAAAGAAAAAAACAAGTATTCCCTGAAATTCAACTAATGAAAGCAAACCACCATAAACATTTTGGCATCCTTCTCCCCTGGAATTCTATGTTAATTTTTGGATTATACTGCATATATCCCTCTGTAGTCTCTTTTAATTTGAGCATTTTCTTATATATCACTCACTAACTTTTTTAAAAAAACAGGCTGCATCAAACTTTTTTAAAAAGCAGGCTGCATCATATTCCAGCATGTAAGGATTTACTATTTATCCATTCCCCAAATGCTGGACACTTAAGCCAGTCTGAGATTTTCACACTGACACAGTGGGGAGCCTTGTGCTACTCTATGCAGATCCTCATCTACATCATCATGCTTGGTCACTGAGGACAGAGGGGAGCAGAACGTAGTTTGTAAGCAATCTGCCACACAGCACCTGTCACCTGGGCTGTATTTCCATCTGACAGTCTCTGAGTATGGAGTCTGATTGTGCTCTATGGTTTCTTCATGTGCATAAATTAACCATTCTCAGACCCTTAGCTCTACAAAGCCAAGGGCTGTTGAATAAGGCACAGCTTTTATAATTCATTTTAGTTTTTAGTCTTTGTTTTATGCTTATTTGCTCAATGGTTATTCTTGTGGTTATTAGTTCACACATTTCTCTAGAGTTACTGTGGCTGGCAAAAGTACTACTTCAGGGGTAGCAGAGTCCAGTGCTAAGAGGGAAACATTTGGTGCAAGTGATGGCAGACAAGGGTACCAATTCTAGGCAAAACTGTCACCTTCATCCTCCCAAGGTAACTTTGGCATCTTTTTCTCCAGTGCCCCTACACCACCCACCTCCCACCCCTGCCTCCCAACCCTACCCTGCACTTCTGAGTTTCACCCTGGCCTCCTGGTTCTGAAATTCCACAGCTCTCAATACCCCATTTATTTTCCTGGCCCTCCACGTCAGCAGTAGGTAGAGAAAAAAAAAAAAGCCCTGACCTCTGGGCTTCTGTGAGTATGTGCATTTAAAATGGGTCACTTTTCAATTCAAACAAATCTGTCTTTTGCAACGGGCCTGCAATTTACCAAAGTGAAGATCCGTGGAAACAAACTGGGTTGTCAGGAGGTAGAGGGATGAAATGCTAGAACAGAGGGCAGAAAGCATCCCTCCTGGCCAGAAGTGCAATCCCAATATCCAGGAAGCTGAGGCAGGAAGATGCGGTGAGTTTGAGGCCAACCTGGGCTACATAGTGAGTTCAAGGCCAGCCTGGACTATACCAAGAGACCTATCTCAAAAAACAAAAAACAAAACAAAAACCAGCAGCCCTCTTTCCGTCTCTTAGGTCTTTTCCAGATGAGTGATTCATCTCTACAATGCCATCAGTGATACTTACCACTCCATATTTGGCTACATTTTTGATAATTAAAAAACTACTCTTTGATGAAGGTCATTCGATAGTACAGGAACCACTGACAGTTTTCCCCCTATGCTCCCTAGGGTCTAAGGCTAAAACAACCACTTTATAAGGTTAATATTTGCCTGGACTCTAGTTGACCCACATGCTGCCACATTCAGTTGCTTCCTGTCCAGATCAGAACTTCCTCTGGCATTTCCTATTTCCAGGATAAAACAGCAGGTTTTCAGTCTCTCCCTCCCCTCCTCTAAGAGACAGTACCTGTACCACGCTGTTGCCGGCAGCCACTGTGGCCCTCCTCCACACGCGCCTCCGGGCGGGCACCTCACTGAGCAGCTGGGCCAGCTTGCGCTCCATCTCTGCCTGAAACACTTCACTCTGTAGCTGCTTCTCCATGACACCCAGGAGGACTGTGGGCAACAGGGAACACATGGCACCCAAAGCAAGTTAGTGGTGGGAGGAGGCGTGAGTGTGTGTGAGTGTGTGTGTATAAAACGAATGCCCCTAGAGGAGGCATTAACATGGAGAGAAACACCACAAACAGGCCGAGGAGGGCACAGGAAGCCCTCTCCTCTCATCTGCAGCTCCCTGCTCAAAGTGTTGCACAGCCTGGTGGCCAGAAGCCCCAGGAATTCAGCCCTGGGAGCTCTGGAGCAGTGTTTACATCAGATCAAACATTTTGTCATCTGCCCTTATCTCAGAACTTCTGCAAGCAGCCTGAGTCTTTATCTTGTCTTAAAAGAGACTCATAAACTAATTTGAGGAAAGGGTGCCTGCCTATCTTCTGCTATCTGCCTTAGACAAGATCACCTACAGAGATAATCTGATTATCAGCGTGGGGGGGGGGGGGCAGCATGCACCTTTCAGCCAGAACTACTTCCAGTCCTCTTTGAGGTACAACCATGAGAAGAAAAAGAGAGAGAGAGAGAGAAATATAACCACGGGCAAGTCTCTTAATCGCTATGAAAATCATCTGGAAAATGAGGTACAGGCACCATGCAAAGGGGTGGGCCCCCGCCATGGGATGTTGTGTGTTAAGTAGGAATTTGCAAGGTTTGGGAATCCCACAAGCGGTGATCGCTCCCTGAGACCAGGACTGTGCTGCTTGTGCGCTGGGCATCCGTTAGGCTTCTGGGACCAGGTCAGACCAACTTTCTCTGGAACAAGCTTGCTCTAAATAGCTGACCCGGGCCCCTGAGATGGCTTGCAAGCTATCTTGATCATCCTTATAAAGCCACACAAATAACACTTTTAGGGAAAAATAGATCTCTGCTTTTGAACCTCATCCTGCTCTGGGTCAAGAGATTGTCCTTTCCAGGGAGACTCTCCCCCACACTTGATGTATGGATTTCACAGAAGATCAATCCTTTTTTGTGCCATAACTCTATGGGACACATTCCCACAGCCCATCTGAATTCTTTTCTCATTCATTCTTTGCCAAGAATTTAAAGTACATTTTGCCCTGATTTTAGGCAACGGGAAAGGCCTGTCATTCTCAATATACCCACACAGATTTCTTATTCTTAATGTTCTCAAGACGTAAGTTCAACGTACCTGTTCTCACCCACGAGGACTTCAGTAACTGAGATAAGTTGAGCTGTGGGTACTGGAAGGCTGCACAAAGGAAAGAGTCCAGGAAGGGGAGAAATTGGTGAGAAGCAAATCAGCAACAGTCGAAAGGGCAGTGTCCTGAGAGCTCAGGGAAGTCACAACAACTGTCCTTCCCACAATGCTTTGCTCTAAGTATGGGAGGACAAAATGCCAGGTCAGTGTGAGGACTTGGACAGGGAGCAGTTTCTGAGTGTAACAGTGTCTAGGAGAGAGAGGGATAAAGAAATCAAGGCTCTTCCTCAGCCCCATCAAGGACACAGCTTCCCAGAGGGGTTACCCCCAAGTCCTGTGAACATCACTGTTCCAGAGCAGTGCGTCCAGACTCTGTCCCCTCAGAGCCCTGGGCATTCCCAGCAAGGACTTGGGGTAAAGTGACAACATGTCCTGGCCTGTCTGGTTACAGTCACAGCACACCCCTGCCGCCCAGCACACTTAGGATTTTAGCCGAACTACACTGCATTGCTGAAAGTACTAGACCCAAATGACAGCTTTATCCCTGTCTACTCTTATATTTTACAGGTTTTTAAAATTTTATTAACAATACACTGAAAAACATTACAAATCATTAGGCCATTATGAATCATTTCCTTTCTGACAAAGAATTTGATTTCTTTTTTTTTTTTTTGGTCTCAATTTCAACTCTGGAATCTACTATTTTTGCAGTGACCACTCCCCCTTCCTCCTGCAACACCTCCAGTTGCACTGTGAATCTAACCACTTCCACCAGGATGAAAGGTTTCCTTTTCATTTATTATTTTTTATTTTTAAATTTATATGTAGTAAAATTCTCCCCTTTTGGCTTCCGGTTTTCCCTGTTTTGATGAATGCAGGCAGTCGTACACCCACCACTGCAGTGAGGACACAGGGAGTTCCATCACCCCAAAACACCCCATCAGCCTCCCCTTTTCAGTCACTTTTGCTCCCATCATCCACAGATCTGTTCTCTACCTAGAGGTTAGCCTCTTCTAGGACTGGGGTACTTTTTTGGTTTGGTTTGAGACTTTTTATTTGTTCATTTGCTTTTTTCTCTCTCTCTGTTCATTTGTTTTTTGTGGTACTAGGGATTAAACCCAGAACCTCACATGTGTCCGGCAAACACTGAGTTACACGGTCAGCCTTTTCTTTTGCTTTTTTTTTTTTCTTTTGAGACAAAGTCTTGCTAAGTTTCCCAGGCTAACTTTGAACTCAAGATCCTCCTGCTTCAGCCTCCCCAATAGCTGGGATGATAGGAGTGCCCCATCATACTTACGCTTGGAGTACTTTATAATAGCATCTCTTTACTCTCAAAAGCAAAAAGTAAAAAGAGGCACAGTGACTGAGCAAGGTTCCTAAGGCCCACCCTGGTTGGAATCTGGGAAGTTCTGATTTCATGTGATTATACTCTGGGACTTCAATCAAACACCCCCTTTAAAAGAAAGACCTCTGTGAGACCACTCTGTATGATGTTACCATGGTGGATACAAGTCTATGTGTATTTGTCCAAATCCATAGAATGTACACCGCCAAGAGTGAGCTCAACATAAAGTATGGACTCTGGTGACAGTGGCATAGGTTCACAGGCTATAACAAATGGCCACTCGGCAGGGAGCTGGTGATGGGAGAAGCTGTTAGACAGGGCCGTGGGGGACAGGGGAAATCTCCATACCTTTGGAGCACTTTTGCTGTGACCCCAAAACTGCTCTAAGACACTCTAAGATTAAAAGTATTTTTTAAAAAGAACTCCACCGACAGTAATACCCATGGCCACTTCTCCGATCCCCCAAGGGGTATGGAACTCACGTTCTGCGATCTGCAGCACCGGGTACCCCAGGTAGAAGCTGAACTCCACCACACTCAGGTTTCTGAGCACCTCGCTCACCTCTGACCCATTCAGAAATCCCTGTGCACTTCTAACAGCAAAGATGATGTTGACTGGGCCCCGCCGGGGCGCCACCCTGGAAGAGCCCATGGTGACATTCAAGACCTGAAAGAAGGAAGTAAGAAGAAGCTTCTAAAATGAAACAGTCAGCTGACAGCCTGACCACGTGGTCTCTCTCACAGGTACTCTGATCACTTTTTTTTTTAAAGGTGGTAAAGTTTTCTCAAGGAAGAGAAACTGGCTTTGTAATCTGGTTCCCTTTTACAAGACTTTCAACACTCAGCTTACTGAACTGCTTTTTGTATTAAGTGATGAACCACATACATGTATATATACTCATTCCCCCTCTGCTTCTACCTCAAATCCCACTGAAATAACAATAAATTGAATGAAGGGGGAAAATCCACAACAGCCCTGGGAATGCAAGAAAGCCAAATGTGCTGTCAAGTTTCTGGAAGATGGAAAGGACAGGATCATACTGAAATAAACCAGAACAGAGGGAAGCAAGACCAAAACATACACAGGCACAGCTGGGAGTCCCCCCAGCAGGTCCAGGAGGAACTCAGGTTGGAAGTGGGCTCCAGAGCCCAGGCCTAATTAGCATAATTAATTAAAACTCTGCAGGCCCAAGAGCTGAGTCAATCACCTCCTCCTCTTTCCCTTCCAACTGCCACACCCAGGCTGGCACAGACCTAGCAGCCACACATCTCCCAGGAGAGCTGGGAGAACTGAGGTAGGTGACCCCCTGCCCGAGGGGACTGAAAGGCTCTCATGGATCCAGATTTCAAGCAAGAGGGAGGCAGGGACAGGTAAACTCTGAGGCACACCAGGGCATGCAAGAAACAAAGAGGGAAAGAAAAGAAAGGAAGCTCTGCCCTGAAACCCTCAGCAGTGCTCACCCGCAGAGTACCTTCTTGTCCTGACCCTGGGGCAGCCCAGCCCAACACACTGCAGGGAGAAAGAAGCCCGTGCCCCTACATCCTGCCCAGTTCCCAGAGCACTGATGAGGTCTCCCATCAGGGGACAATGCTGACACAGAAATGGGCCCCATGGCTGAGGAGGAAAGCTGGACCAGCAGCCAAAATTAACATCCTGGTTCTGCATCCCTAACAAGCAACCAATCAGCAATCTCCACACATTTACAGGGAACCAACAGTTCAAGGCAAAGCACCAAGATCAATGCACAGATGGAGGACTGCAGAAAAAAACAGGTCGGAAGTGGAAGGCAGATTATTTAAAGCCCTAGTTAAGGCCCTCGAAGACTGAAGGGATCCCTGCATTATCAAAGGAAAGGCTGCAGGGAAAAAGGAGATGAGAAAAAGGGGGGAAAAATGATTACTGAAAAAAATTGAACAGAAGGATTGAATCGTGTAACGGCCACAGCAGATGACTAAATTAATGACCTGCAGGGTAGGGTGTAGAAAATCACTGAAAAATAGACAATAAAAGATGGAAAATATAAGGACAAAAATAAGAAAGGTAGAAGGCAAACCCAAAAATGCCAAAATCTAGTTAACATGCATTGCAAAAGAGGAAGCAAAAAATAAAAAATATGGGGGGGGGTCAAAGATATAAAAATATCAAGTTTCCATGTGAGAATCCGTCTCCTCTGGCTCTGACTGAAGCACTGTATCCTCTTATTCCATAAAACAGGCAGAGCATCCCTTATCTGAAAATCTGAAGCTCTCCAAAATCCGAAGTTTTTTGAGTACCAGTGCGATGTTCAAAGGTTCCCAATTTTAGAGACCTTTAGATTTTTACACTGGAAGTTCAATCAATGAAGTCTATACAAATATTCCAAAAATCTAAAAACTCCCAAATCTGAAACACTTCTGGCCCTGTGCATTTCAGATATGCATTTTCATACTCAAGCTGTATGAAGACCCCAGTATGCTGGCTCATTCCCCTACTGGGTATCATTCTCTTCAAGATGTTCTTGAATTTCTGGCTTGAGGTCCTCCTCTCTTTTTTTTTTTTTTGGTACCGGGGATCAAACTCAGGTCCTTGCACTTGTGCAGCAGGCAGCAAAACCACTGAGCTAAATCACCAGCCCAAGATGTTCTTGAATTTCTGGCATGAGGTCCTCCTCTTATGGGGCCCCATCCCTGAGCTCCCTGGTTGTCAGTGGCTCTACAATCTCCATGGAGGCTCAGCACATTCATGCCATGTAGACACCATGCCATAGAAGGACATCAACCCAACCCACATGAACTAGATTTCCTCCAGTGGAGGGAATAAGGGTAAAGCACGTCGAAAATGAAGCACAAAGAACCATTTTTCTTTAAAGAACACTGCATTCTGTTCTGCATCCGGCAACATCCTCACCTGTACAGTGAGATTATACGTGCCCTGCTGGTGCTTTCTCACTTCAAACAGAGCTGTCATCAGGCCTTTCTCCAGGCGCTGGGTGAAGTTGCAGAAGCTGATATCCACACTTGGAGGCACAAACTGAAGTACTGAAAAGAAGGACAGCAATCAAAGCCCCAGGAACAAGGTGTTTCTTTTTTTTTTTTTTTTGGTACCGGGGATCGAACTCAGGTCCTTGAGCTTGCAAGGCAGGCGACAGAACAACTGAGCTAAATCTCCGGCCCAAAGATTTGTTTTGGCTCATGGTTTTTTGTTTTCTTTTTTTCGTACCGGAAATCGAACTCGGGTCATTGCGCTTGCGCAGCAGGCGGCGAAACCACTGAGCTAAATCCCCAGCCCCTAACAAGGTGTTTCTTAAGGATTAAAGAATGAAGAGAGAAAAGAGAACCGCACTGCAATCAACTAATTCATCCGAAGCACAAGTTTAAGTGTTATTTTTTTTTTGGTACCAGGGATTGAACTCGGGTCCTTGCACTTGCAAGGCAGGCGCCGGAAACAATGAGCTAAATCCCCGGCCCCCTAAGTGTTATATTTTAAGATAATCTTTTAAAATACATTTTTATTTTTAATTAACACATAGTAATTGTATATATTTATATATTTATTCAATATATGAATATGTTAGTGATCAGATCAGGATAACTGGCATTATCTGCAACCTCAGACATTTATCATTTATTTGTGTTGAAAATATTCAAAATCTTCTCTACTGTTTTGAAATATACAATTAATTGCTGTCAACCACAGTTATCCCACAGTGCCACAGAACATTAGAAGTTATTCTTCCTGTTCAACTGTACCCCTATAGCTATTAACCTTCCTCTCTCCATTACTCCTTCCCAAAGCACTTCCCAGTCTCTAATACTCACTATTCTACATTCTACTTCTTTAGGATTCGCTTGTTAGTTTCTATATATAAGTGGGCACATGGGGCTTTCTCTTCCTGACTTATTTTACATAACATAATGTCCTCCAGTTCTCTATCCATGTTGCTGCAAATGAGAGGAATTCATTCTTCTTTGCAGCTGAACAATATTCTATTGTGTATACACACTGCATTTTCTTAACCCATTCATATGTCAATGAACACCTAGGTTAGGTTGATTCCACATCTTCATTATTTGTGAACAGAGCTGCAATTCAACATGTGAGTGCAGATGCCTTTTTGACATACTGATCCCAATTCCTTTATCCAGTAGTGGAATTCCTGGTCCATGTGACAGTTTAATTTCTAGTGTTATGAGGAATTTTTTTTTTTTTTTTACCACGGATCGAACTCGGGTCCTTGCACTTGCACAGCAGGTGGCAAAACCACTGAGCTAAATCCCCAGCCCTATTTTGAGGAATCTTAATACTGCTTTCCATAATGGCTATGCCAACTTACCTTCCCACCAACAGTGTATGAGAGTCCCCCTTTCTCCCCATCCTCGACAGCAGCGCTGGTTGTTTTGGGGGTTTTTTCACAATAACCATTCTAATGAAGGTGAGATACCTTGGTTTTGATTTGCATTTTCCTGATTAGTGATACTGAGCATTTTTCAAATATTTTTGGCCATTTTTAGGTCCTCCTCTGAGAAATATCCATTTAGGTCATTTGCCCATTTTCCAGTGGGATTACTTGAGGTTCTGCTGTTGAGTTCCTTTTTGCTGCTGAAGTTCCTTATATATTCTGGAAATGAATCCCTTGTTAGCAAATAGTCTGAAAATATTTTCTCCCATTCTGTACTCTCTTCACTCTGATAGTTTCCTTTGCTGTATAGAAGCTTTTCAGTTTAAGGTAACCCCGTTTGTCAATTTTTGCTTTTGTTGGCTATGCTTTTGTGGTCATACTTAATAAATCTTTGCCCACGGGCCAGGGATTTAGCTCAGTGGTTCTGCCGCCTGCCTTGCAAGTGCAAGGACCCAAGTTCGATCCCCGGTACCAAAAAAAAAAAATACAATAAATCTTTGCCCAGACCAATGTCCTAAAGCATTTTCCTAATGTTTTCTTTCAGTGTTTCACAGCTTTCAGTCTCACATTCTGGTCTTTGGTCCATTTTGAGTTAATTTTTGTATACAGGAAGAGATAGAGGTCTAGTTTTTGTCTTTTGCATATGGATCCCAATTTCCCTCCTTTCTTTCCAAGAAGAGAATTTGGTCTTTTATTGACAAGACTATCCTTTCTCTAATATATGTTCTTACTTCCTTTGTCAAAAATCAGTTGGTATGTACAAATAGGTCTATTTCTCTATTCTGTTCCATTGGTGTATGTATCTCTTCTTTACACAATACCATGTGTTTCTGTTGCTATGGCTTTATAGTATGCTTTGAAGTTTGGCAATGTAATGCCTCTAGCTTTGTTGTTTCTGCACAGGATTGCTTTGGCTATCTGGGTTTTTCGTGGTTCCATGAAAATTTTAGAGGGTTTTTTTCCTATTTCTGTGAAGAATCTCAGGTATTTTGATAGGAATTACATTGAATCTGTAGATCATTTTGGATAGTATGGACACTTTGGGGGGGGGATACCAGGGATCGAACTCAGGTCCTTGTGCTTGCGGGGCAGGTGGCGGCACCACTGAGCTAAATCCCCGGCCAGACATTTTACTAATTGCAATTCTCTCAATTCATGAACATAGAATACATTTCCATTTTGTGAGTGTCTTCTTCAATTTCTTTCATTTGTCTTTTGTAATTTTCACTGTAGAGATCCTTCCTTCCCTTGCTTTTAATTTATTTCTAGTAGTTTTCTGCATGGGGTTTTTGGGTTTTATTGTTGATGTTGGCAGCTATTGTGAATGAGAGTACTTTCTTGATTTCTTTCTCAGCAATTTTATTATCAGTGTATTTAAAAGTTAGTGGTTTGTATATGTTGATATTATGTCCTAAAATCTTACTGAATTGATTTGTTAATTCTAACAAGTATTTTTTGGTAGGGTCTTCAGGTTTTTCTACATATAAAACCATGTTATCTGCAGTCAGGGACATTTTTACTTCCGCCTTTCCTATCCAGATGCTCTTTATTTTGTTCTCTTGCTGTAGCTCTGCCTAAGCTTTCCAACACTTCATTGAATAAAAATGGTAAAAGTAGACATCTTTGTGTTGTTCCCAATCTTAAAGGCAAAAGTTGTAGCGTTTCTCCATTCAGTGTGACACTGCCTGTGGATGTGCATATAAAGCTTTTGTGTTGAGGTAAATTACCTTTGTAAAATTTCTTGGGGATTTTGACTATGAAAGGATGCTGAATTCTATCAAATTCCTTTCTTATCTATTGTGATATTCTTCATTCTGTTAATGCGATATATTATGTTCACTGCTCTGCATGATTTGAATTATCTCATATCCCTAGGATAAATTCTACTTGATCGTGGTATATAATATTTTTTGTGTTGTTAGATTCAATTCAGTAGTTTTTGCTAAGAATATTTGCATCTATGGTCATCAGAAATACTGGTCTGTGGGCTGGGGATTTAGCTCAGCGGTGCCCTCACCTGCCTTGCAAGCTCAAGGTCCCGAGTTCGATCCCTGGTACCAAAAAAAAAAAAAAAAAAATACTGGTCTATAGTTTTCTATTTTTGTTGTGTTCCTATATAGTTTTAGTATCAGGATCATGCTGGCTTCATAGATTGTGTTTAAAAAGTCTTCTACCCTTTTGATGCTTTGGAATAGTTTGAAAAGAACTCCTATTCTTAGAGGTTTTATAATATTCATCAGTAAAGCCGTCCAATCTTGAGCTGTTCTTTGTTGAGAAACTTTTTATTACTGATTCAAGCTCATTAGTTCTTACTAGTCTTATCAGGTTTTCTGTGTACTCATGGTTCAGTTTTGGGTGTAGGTTGTATGTGTCCAGAAATGCCTCCGTTCCTTCTAGATTTTCCAATTGATATTCTATACTTCTGTGCTATCCATTATATCACCTTTTTCATCTCTGATTTATTTGGATCTCTCCCCCACCCCTTTTTCTCTCAGTGCCTCCTCTCCCCCACCCGATTAAAGATTTGTCAAGGCAAGGCATAGTAAGAACCTGGTAAGCACATGTCAAGGGCAGGCCTGTAATCTCAGCACTTGGGAGGCTGAGGCAGGACTACTGTGAGTTCAAGGCCAGCCTGGGCTACATAGTGAGTTCAAGGCTAGACTGAACTACACAGTGAGTCACTGTCTCAAAAAACAAAATTTTTTTTGTCAAATTTGTTTATCATTAAAAAAACCAATTTTTTTCATTTCACTGATCTTTTGAAATTTTTGTCTCTATTTCATTTATTTCTGCTCTGATTTGTTCTCCCCTTGAGTTTGGTTTGTTCTTGCTTTTTCTCTAGTTGTTTGAGGTGTATTGTTAGGTTAATTTGAAATCTATTTTTTTGCTAAAGGGATTTCTTGGTATGAGCTTGTCTCAATGTTGCTCTTGCTATAACCTGTAAGTTTCTGGTATGTTATGCTATCATTTTCACTTGTTTGAAGAAGTTTTTAAATTGCCCCTTTGATTATTTCTCTGATCTACTGGTCATTCATAACAGTGTTGTTTAATTTTCATATACAGTAAAACTTTGGATTGCAAGTAACTTGTATGCATGTTGTGCACGATGAGCAAACATTTCTCGTAAAATTTGTCTTTTTCTTTTTTCATTTTACAACTTTAACTGAATCGTTCCCTTCTCTCCTGACCTGAGAAGTCTGCTGTTACTGTAATGGGAATTCCCTTGTATATGACTTGACACTTCTGTTGTTTTTTAGAATTTTTGCTTTGCCTTATACCTTTGGCAGTTTGACTATAATATGCCTGAGAGAATCTTTCTAAGGACTCTATGAGGGGGTCCTTTGATATTTTGGACCTAGATAGCTATATTTTTGCCAAGATCTGGAACATCTTCAGCAATATTCCACTGAATTGGCTTTTCTATGTCTTTTTTCTCCTCTCCTTCTTTGGAACCCAATCATGTGAATGTTTGCACACGCCATTCGTCCCATATGTCTCGAAGGCTTCTTTCATTTTTTAAAATTGTTTTGATCTGACTGGGTTATTTCAAAAAAACCTATCTTCAAGCTCAGAAATTTTTTCTTATGCCTGATCCATTCTGCTGTTGAAGATCTCAACTGTATTTTTTAATTTCACTCATTGTGTTCTTTAGTTCTGTGACCTGTTTCATTCTTTTTTATGATACTTAACTTCCTGCTGAATTTCCCATTCTTATTTGTCTTCCTAATTTCACTGAATTGTTTCTATCCTATTAAGTTTCCTTAAAATGATTATTTTGAATTCTTTTTCAGGCAATTCACTGATTTCTTTTTCTTTAGGGTCTACGGTCTACTGCCACAGAGTATTCCTTTTTTGGGGGGGGGGTACCGGGGATCAAACTCGGGACCTTGCGCTTGCAAGGCAGGTGCTGGAACCACTGCGCTAAATCCCCGGCCCTCACAGAGTATTCCTTTGAAGGTATCATTTTACATTTCTTTTTCATGCTTGGTACAACCCTACATTGATGTTTGTGTGTCTGGCAGATCTGTTGCCTCTATCAACTGTACAGGATGGCTTTTCTAATGAATGACTTTCTTCTGGCAATGTGTCCTAGGGTGTTTGTTGGAAAAGTCATGTGGCTTTGGCTCCAGGTAGGCCTTTTAATGCAGTGTCTGTGTAGCTTCTTCAGCTATAATCAACATTAGCAACATCTTCAGATGTCTCGGTGACCTAGGCTCAGGGGTTGGGGGGGTTGCACTACCAGCTGTGAGGCAGGTGTCAGGTCCCACAGATTGGACAAGGACAAGGCCACCCCAGGGGTCCGAGGTGGATGTACTGCAGCGTGCTACTAGTGGATCAGTGTCTGAAGCCATACAGGAGTCCGAATGCACTGGTGGCACTCCATGGGGGCACCTGTCAGGGTCCTGGGGCTGCAAGAGTGACCAACAGGGCCTCTGAGGGCCAATGTGCTCAGGTTGGGCTGACTGTCTCCTGCCTGTCTGCTTCTCAGGGCTGCAGTGGGACATGTTTCTGAGAGTCTGATCAACTGCTTTCTGGGTTGTCAAGATACAGGCAGGGCTGCCCAGTGGATTTGAGCCCAGGGTGGGTCATAGTCTAGGTGTCATCTCATGGACATGCAGAAAGCCAACTCTGTACCAAATTAATACAGGCAATATGAAGATGACAGGCATTGTTTTAAAATGGAAAAATAGCTAGGATAAGAATCTAACCATTACAAGACACAACTGACAAACACTCGAAATAAGCAATGAATTCTTGCACATTTATGGTGAAACGACATGGTATCTGTCATTGCCATAAAACATACTTGCATCTTTAAAAACAAAAGTTTGTGGGAGAGAGATGGAACAAAGCTGGTAAAATCTTGATTAGTTCCTAAGCTTTGTAATGAGCCCACGGGAGAGCAATGTTATTCTACTTTTGTATGTTTTTGCAATAAAGTACAGTATGATAAGTGCAGTCTGATAAAAGTGCAGTGTGATAAGGAACTACTGTTAGCTTTAGGGGGCATGATATGGTGGACAGGTGTGTGTGTGAGTGTGTGTGTACAGGCCTTATCCTTTAGAGGCATAAGCTGAAGTATTTCTGAATGAGATAATACGTTGCCTGAGAGTCACTGAAAGTAACATAATGGGGGGAAGAAGATGAGATGCAGAGGTAATGAGTCTGGCTAGAGGTTGAAAACTGCTGGAATCATATAGTGGGTACACGATGGTTCATTAACCTATTCTCTGTACTTTTATATATCTTTGAATTTTTCCATAACTATAAAGTTTAGTGTTTTAATTACATAGTTAAGTCAGGTATGATGGCACACAGGAATTCAAGGCCTGCCTGGACAACATAGAAAAACTTTGTCTTAAAGAATAAAATTTAAAAACAATCCTTGATTTAAAAAAATATATAGATATAGATACAGATATAGATATACAAAATAAAATTCTACTTACAAATCACAACTGCTATGGTCAGTTCTCACCTGTTTGAACTTGGAACTTGGACTCAGGCACCAGGAATGAAGGCTTCACAGACAGGATTAAAGGAGTTTGGTCCCTCACGAGTTTACTATTGATGAGGACATTAATGACCGATATTGCCGTGTATACAAAAGGACCGGATGTTACCAGAAAAGTGAAGTCAGTGAACAGTTCATAAACCTAGGGAAATAAAATATACAAAAGACAATTCAAACTTAAAGGAAGTCGTGTTAAGAGAGAATAATAATAAATTAAGTTTTAAAATGTATCAGTAGTTTCGGGCCGGGGATTTAGCTCAGTGGTTCCACCGCCTGCCTCACAAGTGCAAGGTCCTGAGTTCAATCCCCGGTACCAAAAAAAAGAAACAAAAATGTATCAGTAGTTTAAATGAAAAGGTACTGCTTCATATACAATCAACATTTTACTTTGAGCTATTCTTTTCATGTTCTTTCAACCTTCTCAAAAACAGCACAAAGTCACAAAAACAGCAAGAAAGAGATGCAGGTAATATGAACTGAACAATGACTTATGGAGAATTCAGGTGGCTGCTGTGTTTAACCCACACAGAAAGAAGCACTTACTCTATTGGGTGTCACCACCCAAAATAAATATAATAGGAGCCACTTATGCAATTTTCAAATTTTTACCAGCCACATTAAAAAACCTATGAATGGGTAAAATTAACCCATTAGTGCATCTGAAACAGCATTAAACTTGTAGTCAATTCAAAAAGTATGGGTGAAATGTTTTACATTTTTCATGCATTTTAAAAATCTAGTGTATATTTTACACTGGCAGCACATCTCAATTCAGCTGAGCCCTATTTCATGTGCTCCACAGCCACTGCAGCTCACAGCTCTGGTAATGGACAGTGCAGGTCCAGATAAGCATGGTTCCCTGAGTCCATCTGAGACAGGGCCTCCATCACAGGGTCCATATAAAAGATGTGCAAGGCGGGCATGGTGGCACACACCTGTAATCCCAGCACTTGGGAGGCTGAGGCAGGAAGGTCATCATGAGTTTGAGGCCAGCCTGGGCCATATAAGTTCACAGCCAGCCTGAACTACACAAAGGGAGACCCTGTCTCAAAACCTAAAAAAAAAAAAATGATGTGCAAATCCATCTCTATCCCACTTAGTGTATAAAAAGATGCAAATGTCTCTAAAATCTAGTTTAAACTTGAAATCTAAACTCAAATCCAAGTCCTTTAATATGAATCAAGGAAAGCAAAATTCTCATGGGCATCACCCCAAAACTGATGCCTCTGGTCTGAGAGCTCTTTGTTCCAACTTTGTCAATGAATTCCCCCCCACCCACCAGGGACTAAACCCGGCCCTGTCTGGAACCAGGAAAGGCTTCTCTGACAAAAATGAGTGCAGAACCAGAGCAGGGGCAGCAATGAGGCAGGAGAGGGGAAAGTGAAGGATTCTTCAGCATTGTCACCTGCCGACAGACTCACACCAGACCCAGGCCGCCGCCAGGCTTCAGGACTTACCTGCAGCTCCACAGCTCTCCTGAAGTGCACCTTCAGCACCTCCTTGATGGCTGTGATGATGTACTCCTGAACGGCTCTTCTGGCCAGCACTGCAAATCCAAGCCAACCACCAATCACACGTTAGTGTCATTCTGTGTCAAAGTATGTGAGAAGCCCCCCCAATCACTTTCTCAAATAAGGTCCAACTGCAGACAGGACAGAGGTGAAGGACCTAACTGCCACTAACTCCCCACAGAGGTACGCGGGGGCACCAAGGTTGCAGGGAAGCTGCACAGGCATCAGCTCAACGTGCCAGGTAACTCTCTGCCCTGGGGGGTGAGATCAGAAGGCAGCTGCCTGAGCCAGCAAGGGGAGAAAGAGCTTCTGATTCTCATTTTTATGAGCAATGAAAAAATACCAGGTTGTCTTCAGGCTGTGGCCCTAACTGCAAAACACAAGGTTTTAAAAGCTATCAGAAGTAATACTTCAAGGCCAAGTAATACTTCAACAAAACTAGCCACCTTCCTCCACAAAAGGCGGGCTCCTACACTAGCTTTTCAAAGAAGCTGTAGAGTGCTGATCACTAATAATGGGGAAAAATATTTTTTCAAATTGTCTTATTTGGGAGTTTTATGCAAGAAATAAAATAAAATGTTTTCTAACTCTGTTTCATTTTATTCATATCTAAAAAGTTTCATTTAAAAATCTGTACTATGCTGGGTGTGGTGGTGCATGCCTGTAATCCCAGCACTCAGAAGGCTGAGACAGGAGGATCGCTGTGAATTTTAAACCAGCCTGGGATACACAGTGAATTCAAGGCCATCCTGAACTACATAGTGAGACTCTGTCTCAAAAACAAAAAAAAAATCTGTACTGATGAGTGTCTGTTGCTAACCAGTGTTTAATATGCTCACCCTTCTTTTCCCTATTTTTCTTCCCCTCCTCTTCCCTCCACCTTCCATAATGTAGAATTAGAATACATTTTAATATTATTACTCAGTTTTTCATTTCCTGTCATATTCTTTTTTTTTTTTTTTTTTTGGTACCAGGGATTGAACTCGGGTCCTTGCGCTTGCACAGCAGGCGGCCAAACCACTGAGCTAAATCCCCAGCCCCTCCTGTCATATTCTTCATTCTTTAAAAAAAGATAGGTTCAAGTTACACTTGGTTATTTTTCTAATGAATCAGTGACCTGGATATGAAAAAGGTGGGATGTATCACTTCCTGAAACCACAAGATCATCTGAACAAACCCATCGCCCCAGCCACCTCTTTGGGTCACACCAAGGCCAACTCAGCCTGGCCTTTATAGGCTCCAAGGGGACGAGGCTGTGCCATGGCTTTAAAGCAAAAGGCAAACTGCGCAAGAAGGAAAAGGGAAGCGTGAAAAGAAAGATACTTGAATTAAGGATGAAAATGAAGAGGTAGGGAACAGAAGGAAGGACAAAGGGGAGAGAGGAATGAAGAAAGAAACGGTCTCAAGGGCCGGGGATTTAGCTCAGTGGTTTCGCTGCCTGCTGCGCAAGCTCAAGGACCCAAGTTCGATCCCCCATACCAAACAAAAAAGAAAGGGTCTCAAGAACTCTCAGAATGGAGAGTCAGAAAGAGAAGGACCCTAAAGAGGAAAGCAAGAAGTATGTCTTGCAAGTAGCCCCACACAGCTGAAGGTAAAGTTATCCAAAGGTATCCACTCAGGACATCCAAGCACCGCCCTAAAGTGCCCCTTGAGCCCCGCACTATAATTGCCACCTTCTCTAGTTAATATGAGGAAGATATAAAACCCCAACACTAGCATATAAGGCCCCAAGTCTCCAGAAACTCCTACAGACAGTTTTCCAACTGTCATCGGTGTAGGGCCGAGACATCCTAGGCCAGCAGCACCTGCAGTGCCCCCACTTTAACCCAGAGCTCTGTGAAGAAGAATCATCTCCACCCTCTCTCCCTCTGGACTTCCTCACTGATGGATGACTACCAAAAGAAAGCAACCGAGGTCCCATAAGCAGGGACTGGAGATGAGCCCGTATGTCCGCTGGTCAGATGCGTTAAGTGAGCAAGAGTAGGCTCCTATCTCCTCTCCAATAGCAGGGGGCACCCTGGCGCCTATGCTCAGCCCGGCACAGCTGCCAAACCGTGACATGTACACTCACAGGAGTGAATGTGAAAGCTGTTAAAAATATAGATACCTAATATTAAGGGGCGCCAAATGTCATTCAATGCATATCATATATAAAGTTACATTTGGGCTAGAGGTGTAGTTCAGCGGTAGAGTGCTTGCCTAGCATGCATGAGGCCCTAGGTTTAATCCCAATACTACAAAAATAAAATTAAATTGATACTGCATGATATCTGATATTCTTAGAGATACTTCTTAAATAGAAAAATTCTAAAAGACACAATATTACAACTGTAAGTATCACAGACTCTCAGAAGCTTTCAGTAACTTCTAACAAGGTCCTTATAAGCAACCACTTAATAGCTACTTTGTAATAGCTTTGTTCAAAATGGGAAGAGAAGTAGCCAGTCTGTGAGAAACTCTTCTACCTCTCCCCAGACAGACTAACCCTGCAGACTCAAGTTCATCCTTTTGTTCCAAGCTCCCTTCCTAACCTAATCAGCTACCCCTCCCATGACCTGGTCTAACATCCAGCCATACTGCTGTCCCCCCCCCCCCCCGTTTGGAGGACACTGTCCCTCCACCTAGATGACAATGCTTTCCTCCTACTTTAACATGGACTCCGATCTCACCTTCTCAGGCACCCTGAGGCAACTTTGCTGTCACCACAGATAGTGAGAAAATAGGGTCCCGGCCTCCCTGCTGGGTCTAAGACTACGTCCTGCTCTTGGCTCTGCCCCTCACAGCCTCCACAAGCACCTCAGGCAATCAAATCTGCCTCACGAATGACAAAGGCTCCTGTGGGGTGGGGGGGCGGTAGCACTCAGAGGGTGGGAGCAAAGGCTCCAGGCCCACTCTCAGCACAGAGACAGAGACCAAGCCTGCTCTTCTCCCTCCCTCTCTCCCTTCTCATCCACTCCACTCTGCTGCTCCTTACTTCTGCCATCTTCTCCTCATTCATTTCTGCCCCCCTCCCAAGCTAACACACGGCCCCTTGCCAATGTTAGGCTGCAGGTGAGCTCACAAGACACCATGTACCTCCAAGGAGCTTCTTATGGAGGAAAACTCGGGGACCAATCAAGTGGGCCACAGTCATAGGACGGCACCCTGCAGAGGAGTCCCTAAGAACAAGCGCATCCCATCTTTTATGCAAACACGGGTTATGAGTTCCAAAGGCAAAGACCCTGCCAAACATTTCTACAGCTCCCTCAAATCGTGTATTTGTTCTTTCTTGCAACTACAAAGTGATATGTAATATTGTGTGGGTACTTCCAAGGCTCCGGGACCTTGGCTAAATATTTCATATGCAGTGATAGATTTAAATCTTTACAGTAACCAACGAAGCAGTGCCTCGGTCATCTTTAATAGCTGAGGAAACAGAAGCTAAGTAACCATCTGGGAGGCCCCAGGAGGGGCAGAGGAGGGGAATCACTTTTCTGGATTCAATGAGTCCTGCAGCAGCATCTAAACCCAGATGGGCTGTCCCAAAAGCACCTGAGGGATTCCCCAGCCCAGAGAGGTGATCAGAAGTAAAGCCTTACCAGTTGTGATCAGATAGGCATCAGGGACGGTAATGTCACACACGTAGGGCGGCTTGGCAGTGACCAGTGCTGGAGTACCAAGTGTCGCTTCTCGGGTAGCAGTATTCATGGGATGGAGAGATGGCAGGGGAGGCACCGTGCTGCTCTCCTGGGGACTCTGACTTGCAGTGTGGCCACTGAGGGCACCGTCCACGGTGTCACCAGCGCTGGAGGTACTCAACTCAGGGGAGGTGTTCCAAGGTGAACCTGTGGGTGCAAAGGAGGGACCCACAACGGCTGGCTCTGTGGGCAGAGGTGAGGGGCTCAGCTCCAAGACAACAGAGGACGCTGAGGACAGGTACATGTCCATCATCGAGGCTGCACTGGTCGGAATGAGTCTGGAGGAAGAGGGTAAGATGGAGGTGTGGTCACCTGTAGCTCTGACAGAGTCATCGGAAGGTGTCAGAGCTAAGGACAGAGAAGACTCAGTTAAAACAGGTGTCAAGTAGAAAGCTATTGATGGTGACAGGAAAGGAGTCTCGGCAGTCAGGATGTCCAGGGTGGGCTCAGAGCCAGCGGGCACCAGTGTGGTGACTGCAGATTCACGGGGAATGAATGAAAACCCCAAATCGGAGGTAGTTTCGGTGAAAGCTGAGGTAAAATGAGCTTCAGAATCCAACAGGGAAACTGTGGAGGCTTCAGCAAACTTGGGAGACTCGGATGGGAAGCTTGAGAGTGGTGACATTTCAGAGTGATCGGGAAGAAAAGTGACTGTTTTTAAAGAAAGGTCTGAACTTGGCAAGAGCTGAGAAAACTCAAAGTTTGTGCAATTCGTGACAGGAAGCTGAGGTGACTGCCAGTTGACAGAGTCAGACAACATGAACGTCTGCACCAAAGAAGAAAAGGACTGAGACATGGAGGGTGACAGGTCCCTTGGCATTGGAGAGGGAGAAGCAAGAACTTCTGAAGATGAGGGGACCAGGCTGCTGAATTCCAGTGGTGGAGTTGAGTAAAAGCTAGATACAAAATCCAAAAGACTCCGAGTTTCATGTTCAAAAGCATGGCCAGGTTCTTGAGTAGAGAGAAGTGAAGACGTTCCTGCAGGAACCCAGCTATAAGAGGTGGAGAGATTCTGGTGTGTGGTGGCAAGTGATGGGGGGGTTTTGTTGGCCACGACGGAGAAAGAAGAATCGAGGGAGACGCTGGTCATGACTGAGGAAAACTCTGCGGTCACCAAGGACAGCACTGCTTCAGCAGCCACGGAAGAAGAGATAGAAGCAGGATCGGGCGACACTGGTGCAGTCAGGTGGCCATGGGGAAGGGACCCCTGGGTGTTGGTAATGCTGCTCACACACACCTCAGCTGACAGACTGCTGCTTGCTTCTGAGATCCTCACAAGTCTGGAAGAAAGGGAGATGACAGGCCTGGCGGGGGGAAATGTATTAAATTCTTGGGGATCTTCCTCAAAATCAGAGAAGTCCATGCCCACGCTGCTCCATGGAGAGAGGCTGCTCACTTGCAGTGTGGCCGCTGACAGGGTCTCGGCCCCATCCCCTGATCCCACATCTCCCTCCACGACACTTGTGGCCAGAACATGCTGAGGGGAGACCAGGGTACAGGACGCACACCAGGCGTATGGTCTAGGGGAGGACAGCGGGCTCTGGACACGTGTGTCATCCATACCACTGGGGACCAGAGCGCGGACAGGCAATTCTGATGCTTCGCTGGCTTTGCCAGGAGGAAAGGGGTGAAAGGGAACATCAGCTGATTGAGTGGAAAAGGAGGCAGAACCAAGAGGAGTTGAAAAAGCCGAATGTGTGCTGCGGAAAGCAAGGGCTTCATGTGACACAGTGACAATGGGAGATGCTCCTAGAGAGACGGCTTCTTCCAGGGGTGGATTCAAAGCAGTGGTCACATCCGAGTCTCTCTCTGTGCTTATGGCCAGGACTTCATCTGGGGGCTTGGAGGCCTCCGCCAAGGGGACAGATGCCTGTTGAGTCAGGGCACCGCCTGATAGCAGAGACACCAGAGACCAGGAGCTGAGACCAAGGGATTCTGGGCCCTCTGTCACTGAAGCCACAATCTCTAGTGGGGTCCTACTTGATGACTGGCTGTATGTTTCTGTAGGATAAAGCACCAAATTCCTACTAGGAGTTGGAATTATGCCCTCAGAGGTGGGAAAAGCCGACCACAAAGTGCCAAAGTGACCAGGGGACTGAACATATGTCGATGGTTGTTGCACTGTGTTCTGCCAGCCTGACGTCACCTCTTCATGCTGTAAAGAAATGGTAGGTAGCGATGGAGTGAGTACAGGCTCGGGTATTTCTCCGGGCAGCTCTGGTGGGCTGGCTGTGACGTAGGACAAGGGGGAAACCATCCGTGAAGAGGTCCAGTGGGCATCTGGCAAAAAGTTATCCATGTCATCATCGCCAACAGCCACCTCGTTACTTGTCACTGACCCGTAATTAGCCATAAAGATGCCATGATCCACTGTACTTTGGGTCTGTTTCTCATGGTTTAAAAAAGTCGTATCAAAAGTAGTGGCAGATGGAGAGGATATGACAAGGAGAGACCTGCTGGGCAGGGACCCTGGAGCAGTCTCTGTTAAGGCCACATGTGCAGCGCTGAGCGTGGTGCTCGTCTCCAGCGGGAACTCCATGGAGGATAAAGAAAGGTTGTGCTGTTCCAAGGAGAGCTTGTCTAGCAAGAAAAGCAAAGCTGGGTTAGCTGAGTGAAATGAAAATCACATGGCTAACATCTGGTTGCAGGTGTCAAAATACATTCATTCAACAAACATCCATTCACTATAAATATCCACAACTCCTAGTTAGAAGTTAAACAACTAGTCGGAGGCCAAGCATTGCCAGACTGACCAAGAGAACTACATCCACAAATAGTCATAAACTTGAGCACTGCCTTCGCTCAAGCTTGTATGTTTATGTACACACCTGCATACTTTGATCTCTTACTTTCTAACAGTGTACATTCAGACCCACAAAACAAGAGAAGGCAGAAAATAGGAGGCCCTAGAAGATTATCTGGACAGTTCTCTCTTATTTATCCTACCAGGAAAGAGAAGTTAGGGAAGAGCAATAAACCAACCGCAAGATCACTCACACAGCAGAGAGAAAATGTGGATATAAGACAGACTCTGATTTCTTTCTCAGGACAGGCTCCTGAGAAGGGCACAGGATGACTCTCGTCAGCATCACTGACACCCTCGTAAGGGATCCACAGTCCCCTGGATAAAGGAAGTGTGGCATCTATACACCAGGCAGTACCACCCTGCCATCAAGAAGGATAAACTGGAGTTATGTGGAGGAAAAGGGCTGCACCTTGAGATCAGAATGCCACGTGAAATAAACCAGACACACAAGCTTAAATATCGCATGGTTTCTCACACATGAGAAAGAAAGATAGATAGGGAATAGGAAGATAGATCTTTTGCAAAAGGGAAGGGGACCAAAACATGGAGAGAGGGGAAAAGGAGGAGAGAAGAAGGGGAAGAAAAAAGAATTGAGATGTGTTATGTACACATGCCAACTCCCCACGAGGAATATGATCATTATGTACTGCAAACATGAACTAATAAAAAAATATTTTTAATAAAATTGGGGAAAAAAGAGGTCAGCAGTTCCCAGCTGTGCCCCCAGACAGCTTCGGGAAACAGACAGGGCCTCCTCCCTCCACACTCTGCAGCTGGGTCAGTGTCCCCAGCCATCTATCTGTCACCACACCCACTGAGACTTACCAGCTGCTCAGCAAGGACAGGGGTGGTTTTACTTATCTTCCTGGTGCCCAGCACAGTGAATGACATATGGTAGGAACTCGATAAGTACCTGCTCCATGAAGGAATGAAGGTGTCTGAGGACAGTGAGCTCTGATAAGTGCCTAAGCATCCCCTCCCCTGTGCACACTCTCCTCGCCTTTGTCCTTGGGAGAGCTGTCATCATGTGAAATGCCCAGGTGCTTCCACCTGTCACTCAGAGATCCTGCTGGGGAAAGCAGGACAGGTGATGGCTCAGAGCTTGCTGAAGGCCCAGAGCTCCGCTTCCTGTCCACTATAGCACAGGGACAGGGTGAAGCAACACCTTAGACTCATCCCAGCTGGGTGTGAAGAGCACAGGGACGATCTTCAAGTTGTTCCACCTCATGACCGGCACCATCAAAAAGGGTAAAAGGGGGCACACCCACAAGGGGAGCAGCAAAGGAAGATGATTGCAGGTGGCAATAAGCCAGGACAATGGTGCAGGGCAGCCTCCCTCGCTGCTCGCCCAGGGAAGCAGCTGCTGACACCTCTCTTACACTTCAGCCCCTGAAACACAGACAATTTCTATTGCTCAAGCCCAGAACAGAAAAGGTCTATCAATCTTGATTTGGTGCAGCAATTATACAAAGAGTCTCCCCATATTTAGAAATAGATTTATTTGTGTGGTCCTGATAAGTATATGCTTAGAAGCCTAATTTAAAGCAAACTAGGTCTCCAATGTCTTTCAGAGGTAACATTAATTGTTCTCAGCCCAAGGAAAGTGGCTCATGCCTATAGTCCCAGCTGCTAGGAAGGCTGAGGCACGAGAATCACATGAGCCCAAAAGTTTAAGACCAGCATGGACAGCATAGTGAGACCCTGTCTCAGAAAAAAAAAAATCCACAGCTAAAGTTTTTTTTTCTATTTTTGGTACCAGGGATCGAACTCAGGTCCTTAGGTTGCAAGGCAGGCGATGGAACCACTGAGCTGAATCCCCGGCCGGCCCTCTGCAGCTAAAGTTTTAACAAATACAACCACAGAATTAAAACTTTGCAAAACGATAGGTCTCCCACCACCTCAGCAGCTATTATGTATGGTAGCTGCCCTCTTCCTATTGTGCCTTGTCCCCTCCCCTGTGTGACATCACGCCAAGATGGTTGCTCCCACCAAAGAACAAACCCTTCTTCCCAGCATGCCCCTGTTCCCACTTAGGCTAACCTAATACTGGCTCACCTCCCACCACCTAGTGACCGCACCGGCTCCTCCATTCCCTAGCCACTGCCTCACTCAACCTCACCTCAGCTCCTACAAGCCCCACCCCTGCTCCTATAAAAGGCATTTGCTGTCCTGGCCATATTGCTTTTGTCTCTCCTTTGTTCAGAGGTAGCCCAGCAGATCTGTTCCCCTAATAAAGGCTTGTTGTGGCCTATCTGGTTTGGTTTTCAGCCCTTTTACCTGACACAAAACACACAGAGAAATAAGGTACCATGAATAAAAGTCAAGAAAAACTCCATGAAAAAGTCAAAAGAAACTACATAAGCAGTCTCGCATCTATGGACTTCAGATATTGTAATTACGGGATATATTTTTAAAATATGTTTAATTCAGCTAGGCAAGATGATGCATGCCTGTAATTCCAGTACTCAGAGAGGCTGAGGCAGGAGGATCGAAACTCTGAGCCCATCCTGGACAACTTAGCAACTTAGTGAGATCCCTGCCTCAAAAAGGAAAGAGACAGGACTGAGGATTTAGCTCAGTGGTTCCGCCGCCTGCCTCGCAAGCACAAGGTCCTGCGTTCGATCCCTGGTACCAAAAAAAAAAAGAGAGAGAGAAAGGGAAAGAAAGGGGGAGGGGCAGGAGGAAGGAAGGGAGGGTGGGCTGGGGATGTAGTTTAGTGTGAAGGCCCTGGATTCAATTCCTAGTACCACAAAAAAAAGAAAAAAAAAGAAGAAAGATAAGTTTAATTCATTTAAAATAAAGCAGGAACTGAAAACATTAGTAATGAGTCAGAAACCATGAAAACTAGCCAGAAATATTTTAAAGAAAAACAAAAAATTTAGAAATAAAAAATATTATAATCAAACCTCAACATACATGTAAAAACGACAATTTAGACATAGCTAAAGTGAGACTTAATGAACTGAGGGACACATACAAAGAAATTACTCAGAATGGGGCACAGAGACACAAAGAGATGCAAAACATTTAAAAAGAGACACCCAGGGCTCAGGATTTAGCTCAGTGGTTCCACTGCCTGCCTCACAAGCGCAAGGTCCCAAGTTCAATCCCTGGTACCAAAAAAAAAAGAGACACCCAGAGACACAGAAGATAGAATGAGATAATACATGAGATCAAACATTTGGTCAAAGTTTTAGGAAAAAGTAATAAAAGGACTAGAGACAATATTCAAAGAAATAGTGCTGCCTGGTGTGGTGGTGCACACCTATAATCCCAGCACTTGAGAGGTTAAGGCAGGAGGATTGCTATAAATTTGAGGCCAGCCTGGGTCACCCTGCCTCAAAATAAAACAAAGAGTGCTAAGAATTTTCTAAAATTATGAAGAGACTTGAATGCATCAATTCCGGAAGGCCAAGAAATCCCTAGCAAGGTAAATTTTTTCAAACCCCATCTACAAATATGATCCCATACCGCATTACTGACAAAGACAATGGTAAAGGGGATGAATAAACAAACAGGTTATGACTTCACACAACCAGAAACCAGATGATAATGGAACAAAAGCTTCAAAGTGCTGAGGAAAAATGTCTGACATCTTTGAACAACTGTCAAGAAGATACATAAAATAATATTTTCAGATAAAGGGAAAGTGGTTAAACCCACCAGTCTCTCAACGAAGGAGTTTCTAAACAAAGACATCTTTTAAGAGGAGGAGAACTGGCCCAGACGCAAGGTCTGGGAAAAAGGAACAGAAAATAAATAAATGACAAACATATGGTAAACTCAACAAACACTGATGGTATAAATTAGAAATAATATTCCTGTGTGCTCTGTGAGTTCACAGGAGGCATATGCTATAAAACTAAAACAGGACAACTGCACGGAAGCTGAAAGAGGAACAGTAGAGATATCTGTAACCCACCTGCAGAGATGGAAACCAAGAGCTAAGACAACACTCTGGGAGACTGAGGCAGGAGGAACACAAGTTTGAGCCCAGCCCAGGCAACTTAGCAAGATCTTTTCTCAAAAAAAACAACAAAAAAAATCCAGGGCTCCTCTCTGAGGCTCAGCCAAGCGGCGTGAAGCTCCTCGGCTGCGTTCCTGTTCCTGCCCACTGCATAGTGAGGTCCCAGGAGCGGCTTGGAGCCCCACCACCATCCAGTGCTCCGCTTAGCTGTGCAGGCACCTGCAAGGCCCAGTTCCATCCCCCCCACCCCACCTTCCGGCTCTTCTGCTACGTGGTCCCACACTACAGAGGCACAGGGGATTATACTTCACATAGTTAAATGTGATAGATTAATAACTACCACAAATTGTCATTTTCTAACCTGCACTTGATGTTATGGTATTGCTGATTGTAACATTTGGCCTAACATGTTGTGGTTGATCTAATCAGTTTTCCTTCCTGGTATAAGGAAAATAAAATAGTCTCAGAGTCATTAGAGCCTCAAAACCTGAACACAAGCTATATCTGGAAGATACCTCTGAAAAGCAATCATTCCATAAGAGTTTTAAACACAAGCAACAAAGATACCTACATTAAGCAATTTTGAAATATCAACCCAGGAATTAAACCAAGGACAGTACCAAAAACAAAAATGAGAA